TATTAAGTATTTTTGATCTAGTTTCTAGTGCAAGTGTTCTTGAAACTAACTTAAAAGTGACTTTTAATGCAAGACACATGAGCTTGTTTTACGTGAATAATAACTTAATATTGATGAAAAACTTGAACAGATTATTTCACTTAAAACAAGGGAAAATATCTTGCTATAAGTAAAATAATCTGCCAGTGCGACTAGTACTATTAATACATTGTTTACATAAAACAGCCTCAACATTTTGCTGAAAGGCTTCTTAGAAGTTAGTTTTGTCTCATTCAAAATGTGCCAAAACCTTTTTACTACAAACCTGACAAAGTTAAAGCTACACTGCAAAAACACAAAATCTAGAGCTTCACTAACCGTTGGGTCTCCGCTGAGGTCAATTCCCACCACCAAACCTCCAGACGACAACATGAACTCTTCAGCCAGCTTCACTGTCTCCAGGGCAACCTGCTCGCCGTTTCTGCGATCGATGGCCACCAAAAACCTGACAGAAAAATGACGTTCAGTGTTAAAACAACAGGATGAGTTAAGTTTAAATCTTCGCAGTGGCGCTTCGGTTGTGAAGCGCACTGTGCATTAATTTCTGCAACTTTATTTTATTTTTTTTTCCCCTCAAGACAAACTCCCAGCTCCTCTGTTTAGACCAGGGATGGGCAACTCCAGGCCTCCAGGGCCACTTATCAAATAATGAGGCCATTAGCAGAACTCTGGAGAACTTGACTGCATTGAGGAGGTGATTCAGCTATTTGAATCAGCTGTGTTGGACCAAGGAGACATCTCAGAGTTGCAGGACACCGGGCCCCCCGAGGACCAGGATTGCCCACCCCTGGTTTAGACTATAAATGGATAAACAAACATTGCATCCTCTTTAGTTTTCTCTGTTCTGTACGTAATGGAGACTGGAATTAAAGGCGCCATTATTTCTACCAAAGCTTTTGAATGCGCTTCCTAACCCAGACGCTCCAAACCGTCCGGTCCATAACCCTTCAACAGGATGTTAGTTCAGAGTCCATGAAATGATATTCAGGAAGAATTTTTATTGATTGATTTTAGTTGCCTCTGCAATGAAATCTTTGGTTAAAGTCTATAATGTCTGCCCATGTGCACCAATCAGGGGTGTTAATTATAACCTGTCAAATGACCAACGGGCTTCAAATGTTCCGGTCGTTTAAAAGAGAAAACCGGTCAAATACGGAAAATATTCTGTTAACGCGAGCTCTGGCTGTAACTAACAATTATTTTAGAAATCTATTATTCTGGTGATTAACCAGATTTTTTAAAAATTCTAAATTCTACATTAACAACTTAAGCCTTTTTATACAATATTATTCATATGTTAAAAGACTCAAATAAATAATTTAAAATAAATAAAAAAATAAAAACGTTATTGGCTAAAAAGCCACATCATAGCGCTCATTGAGTGAATGCTTAATTATTTACCGATCATATTGACAAAGTGTTTTGTCTTAAATACAAAATGTTTATTTTTCGATTTAAGCTCTGACTGTTGATTTTTCCATAAATTTAATTTTTGAGTCTGAATGCTCAGATTAACAATTAACCGCTTACTGGATTAATTGACAATTACTTCAATAATCAATTTGTTACAATGAATTGTTTCAGCCCTATTAATGATAACATGAAAGCGATGAACATCTACCTGACCTCTATGTCCACTCCCTCGTTTTTACACTGCTGAATGGCTTTAATGACTGTCTCAATGTAGCTCTTTTTTGTTAGTCCTGGAATAAAAAAGCATCATAAACCAAAGTCAGATTCTAAGCAGTGAAACATTAAGCCAAAGTATCTGAATCATCTTTAAGATTCGAACCAGTGTGATTCTCTTCCCTCGGTGTGCTTCTGAGCTCAAGATATTTGACATTATCAGCTGCAAACTCTTTGATAACATCTGTCGCCACCTTGATTAGAAATGCAAAAATCTGTGAGTGGAAATCTGGAAAATGTATTTTAAATAAAAGTTGTTTTACTAAAGATCCGCGCTCACCATCAGGATATCCTCCTCCGTGTCCACCAGTTTGTGGATTACTTTGAAGACCTCAAAACATCTGCAAACATGGAAATAAAAGGGAGTTATGTGATGTTGTACAATGAATAACAATTTAACACAACTTTAATTCTAAACATCACAAAAACCTGGTGCTATAGCAGCTGTCAAACCACAAAACTAACCGTGTTCATAACAATTATAACCAGCACCTTTTACATATAGATATATTCAGAGCTGATGATAAGTTCATCTTTTATTGCACAATCGTAGTATAAGTCTGAAAAATCCAGTAAATTTACCCCACTAAGCAGTGCAGCCCCTTTTATCAGAGGTAAGATTACTTTTTTATAAATTTTTTAAAGTGTAAGATCTGTTATATTAACCTTCTGTTGTGATTAGTGTGTATTGGTACATTGAAGTATGAGGGCCATTGCAGATAGAACAGAAGGAGGAGTAAATTTCCACCCAAAAACTCTGAAGTTTTTTAATTAATCTCATTGGTTTTCTAGGAAAAAACATGCAAATTCATGAGCTCCAAAAGTCAAAAATGTCAAGTAAGAATTAGAAATTTTGAAATAAATTTCAGAAAAAACTTGAAGATATTTAATGTCAAATCTTATCAATTTTGAGATTTCCTGGGCTTGTAAAGTCGAATATTTTCGACTTTGGAAATTTTTCTTTGTTTCAAAAGCTGAAAATGTTGGACTTTTGGATTTCAGAAATGTCCCAGTTTTTCTAGAAGCTTTCTGAGAATAATCTTGAGATTTATGATTCCATGTTTGACTTTTCGAGTCCAAGTTTTTCTAGCAAAAATAAATAAATCTGAGATTAAACTGAACAAAGTCGGAGTTTTTCTCGCAATTTTTAAATTTTTAAAATGTCAAAATCTTTCTAGAAAATTTCTTAAACTTAAATTTCTCAAAATATCTCCCTTTTGATATGGGCGTATATTAATATTTTGTTCAGTCTACAATGGCCCTAACGCGCCGCCGTACATTTGCGCTATAAGCTAGGTTAATGTCTGACTCGTCCAGCGTCCTCCGCTGGCCTTTGCCGATGGCCGTCATGCTGTGTTCAATGTTGAGGTGCGGTTTCCGCCGGATGAGCTTCTCCATGGTCTGGGCGCTCACCGATCCGTTCAGGTGAGCGTGAAGCTCCTGTTCACAAATCAAAACGCTGACGTTAGCGTCTTAAAGCAAACAACACACTCCTGCTGTTTGTCCCTCATCAGCTCCTCCCAAAACATTTTTATTCTTCACGTAAAACACAACATCACAGAGTTCCCTCACCACCTTCGGTAGATCCTTGTAAAACTCAGCATTATCGTCCATCTCACAGTGAATCACAGCCGTAGTCTCCTGTCGATATTTTCAGTGGACGTTTTCCCGACGCACCTCGTGCAACAAGAAAATCATTCCCTCATTCCGCAGCTCAGTTCCGGATCCCTCAGCGAATCCACTCCGTTTTTATTCATCTTTTCGGAAATCTTTAATTTTTAATGTTTAAGAAAACTATATTAAAGAAAACGTAATGTAATAATATTCTACATAGTTGCAGAAAACAAAATCTCACGATTAAATGCTTATAGCTTAACAGGAGTAGAGAAAAGCTAGTTCATGTTTCTGGTTTTGTCTCCTTACTGTAGTACTTCACTTTTTAAGACTTTATTTCATTCATCTTGTTTTGCCCTCCAGCTGCAGATTATAACTTGTGGTTCCTGCATTAGTATGTCAGCTTTAGGTAATAACGTTTCTCCTTTGCTTCTAGCTGAAGCCTCTATTTTAATAATTTAACATAAACAATATTGATATTTACTGCAGAAGCACTATGTGTATTTTTCTTCCTACTTCCCTTTTTATTTTTGATGTGTGTGTTCACCTTATTGTGTGTAAATTTAGTTTCCTCTTTATTTGTGGTAGGTGTTCACTCCCAACAGCATCAGTGTTTGTGTCCCTTTTCTGCATGGTTGATTCCTGGTGGGTTGAGGAAGATGGCTGCTCATATTAACCCTCTTTCTGGATGGTTCTTCTTGTTAAATATGAATTGTTCCTCTTCACTGTACCCATGTGCTTGCTCAGAATCAAGAAGATTCTGAAGTGAAAATAAAATGTAATCTGTTAAGATTTATGATGTGTAAAACATTCTACTTATTCTCTTTGTCTCATCTGCTGACTTTGCTATTTACATGTTTACGCTGACTTTCTCTAAGTTGGAACAAGTTTGTCTTTTATTTTTGTGTCAGTTTTAATTAATTAATTAATGGAAGTAGAACTTTTTCATCAATATTAAGAAATTATTTACTTAAAACAATCCTCTATATTTTGCTAAAAATGTACTTTTAAGTTAGTTTGTCTTATTTCAACTATACTAAGATATTTGCTCAAGAAACTAGGCCTAGATTACAGGCTCCAACAGGAACGCCTGTATCGACATTTCCTCCCTGATGGGGAAATTAATTAAGAGAAATTAATACTTCCCTTAAACTCAAAAGTCACATTGATACAGTAGAACATTTTTGTTCTCTTCCAGTGAAGATACTCCTCAAACATGAATAATTTTCTCTGTAAAAGAAACCTCATAGCAGTAATTCGTACTTTTATAACCTCTTGTTCTTTTTTCAAGGAGTTGGTTTCTTTCTTACAACTGTTACAAAAATACAGCAACTTGACGAACAAAGGGACGTTTCACTGACTTTCTGTGATTCTCTGGATTCATGTAAAGATTCTTTAATGTTTACATCATTTTATTTATCCAATTCCTCACAATTTACATCTTTTTTTTTTTTTAATAAAAGATGTGGTTGTCTTTTATATCTGGCTTTATTGTCCAGTAAGTTATTAAGCCTCCTTGATTTAAAAGTGCTTCCATTAATTTCAAAGTGGCACTGTTTTTTTATTGTGGAAAATGGCAGCATAGTACATTTTTTACCATTCAAAATCCAAATGGCTTGAGCTCCCCAAATATTCACACAATAACATGTTTTTCAGTCAGATTTAGATTTTTTTTAAGTGAAATTTTTATGCCGGCTGCTTTTCTTGACTCACAAATAAACTGAGAAGTATTAAACATTATCAGACAAATGAAGCTGTCATTTCATTTGAGCTCTTTAAACAAAATAATTCAACATTCAAACAATAAGCCGTACCTGGAAACATAAAAAATAATAATATTAATACATCAAGCACTGAGAAGCAAAATCCTACTCAAGAGTGTATTTCCTCTTCGTCTCTGTTGACAAGTTAAAGGTTGGCACCAATATGATGAGGGATATAAAAGGCAACTGTTGAAAAGAAGGACTTGATGCTATTAAAGTTATTTAATTTCTCCAGATAAAGTGTGGAAGGACAAACAGCTCAGCCTCTGAGAGCTGCTGAGTTTTAAACAATCTGACACGAGGCAGTAAGAAGCAAATGATTGCACTGCAAAAGAATCAAAGTCTTACCACAGCCTAGTTTCTAGTGCAAATATCTTAGCACAGTTGAAATAAGACAAACGTAAAAATATCTTTTCAGTAAGATGTAGAGGCTTGTTTTAATTCCTTAACATTGATAAAAATGCACTTGTTACATTGGCAGATAAATTAACTTATAACATGGGAAAATGTCTTATTAGTTAAATAATCTGCCAGTGGAACTGGTAGTTTTTCATCAATATTAAGGAATTATTTACTTAAAAGAAGCCTCTATATCACATGCGTCAACCAAATCCTTATGTGGCCCTCTAAACTCTTAAATATTATTTTATCAGTCAAATAAATTAAGTTTTATCTGTTTACTGCCAAATTATTTCAAGCAGTCCCTCCATTTTCCAGCAGATTATTGTGAAAATTCACGCAAAATCAACAAATCGCTGCACTTTTTCATATTTATCGCAGATTTTTGGCCAAAATTATAAAAAACATTGGATTTAAGTGACTTTTTACACCCACTTGCGGTGTTTCTATGAAACAGCTGCTTCACCCTAACATGATTCAAATTATAATCCATAACAACTACTAGTAAAAAGTTGCATATCCCGTCATACATAAGTGCAAATATTTCTAAATTAGTACCACAAACACTTGGATTTTTATTGCAAAAAAAATCCCCAAAACAGTCACAAAATCCTGGAGGGACTGAAAAGATGTCCAATATTATTGAATTTTAAGAATTTATTTATATGCTTTAACATTTTGTTAATGAGTTTTAGCAATAGATTCTGTCAAGATGTTGATTTGGACCAAAACAAAATTGAGTTTGACACTCCTGCTCTGCTAAATAAGTTACCTTTAAGTTAGCTTGTCTCATTTCACATGTACGAAGGTATTTAGTAGAAACTAGACCAAAAATGTTTGGTAAGATTTTGCATTTCTGCAGTGTGGACAGATGTACTTTACAGTGAAATGCAAAGAAAATGCTTTGACGTTCTATCAGAGTAGCAGTCCTTGCTTTGAGGAGTCAAAACGGACAGCAGATGATCATTTTTTCTGAATAATATGCTGTAGCCATTCCTTCAGCATCTGGAAGCTCGGCCGCGCCGCCGGATCCAGGTTCCAGCACTGCTTCATGATGTTATACACGACTTCGGGACAGCCATCAGGACAGTCCATTTTGTAGCCCTTCTCCACTCGCGGCACAACTTCTTTTAACGGCTGGAGAAGAAAATAAAAAAGTTGATACCAAAGAAAATGTATTAAAAAAAAAAAGAAAGATTTGTCTTACTTTGAGATTGATACTTACAATTCTTGGATAGGGGACTCGGCCAAAAGAGTAAATCTCCCAAAGTAAAATACCGTAGCTCCATACATCTGACTTTGTGGAAAATTTCTGTCAATACAAGAAAAAGCTGATTTTTTTTAACCCGACTTATTTACATCCAATGTTTTTGCTTTTTTGTGTAATTTTAAATGTCTCAGATCATCAAAAAGTGGTAAAATTAAAAAGAGATAACTGGAGTAAATGAAAAAAAAATGTTTTCATATGAAATTGTTTACCATTTACAGAAAAAAAGTTCGTCAAACATACGTGCAAAAATATAATTTCCACAAGCTACAGCTTTAACTGATTACTGCCTGACATGAAGAGCTAAAAAATGACAACATGAAGTGACTAAAATACCTAAAAAGTTGCTGACATTGTAATTCCCTGGTCCTGTCTGTTTAAATCTGTGTTTTTTATCTGTGGTTTTATGAATACAATATAGTCTTTTGGCACAATTAATGTCTTTTTAAATAAAATGAAACTGACACTAAAACGACAAACCATCAAACCACATATTGATGTTTTTGATAACTGATCATGTCAGGTGATAAATGCTCACAATGCATCTTCAGTGTATGTTTGTGACTGAAATACACTACACAAATAAAAATAATACAAACCTGTCTTAGTTGCACATGAGATAAATGAAGTAAATCATGCAAATAGAAATGATTAAACTCGCTTTAATTATCATGCGATTAATTGATTTGTCGTTGTGACGGGACTAATTGAGACACGGCATTTATGCTCAGAATCTCTCTGAACAATGGCAACATAGAGAGAAAATGATTGATGAAAAACTCAGAAATTTTAAAGAAAAAAAACAAGGACATTTCTGAATGTTAAAATTTGACAATTGGCTTGAAAAAATTTTAATTTTTGAGATTAATCTAAGAAATTTTTATGGAAAAAATATGAAAAGTCAAATTTTTGACTTTTTAAACTAATAAATTTCCATTTTTTTTCTAAGCAATTTATGGAATTGTGAAATTTCTGAGTTTATTTCTTGCAAAGTTTCAACTTGTGGATCTCAGAAACTACTTTGTGTTTTTCTAGAACATGTCCAAGATTTTTTGGCAGAAATTTCTCTTATTTTTCAATCTAGAATGGCCCTAACACATCCACAGATGTCCGACAGCTTTTTTCCTGGTTCTTTTGCATTTACTTTGTTTAAAATAAAAAATATTAACTTTAGGAGCTAAAAGTTTCTAGCAGCTGGAAGCTGTGCTGCGTCTGACCGTACCTTTTCTCTGAGGGCTTCTGGTGACGTCCATTTAACGGGCAACTTGGCCGTATCCTGAGTCGACGACGCCTCTTTGGTCAAACCAAAGTCGCTGACTTTGGCGATGTTGTCCTCCGAAACGAGAACGTTTCTGGCTGCTAGGTCTCGGTGCACAAAGTTGTTGGCCTCCAGGTAAGCCATGGCTTCACAGACGTCTCTGCAGAAGTAAAACACAGGCGATGGAAACGAGGCTCGGGAAGCGCTAACCAAACGTTTAACGCTACGACACACAGGTTTCTTCATATTCAGATACTCAACTTTAGTTTGACAAAGCTCCAAAATCAGAAACATTTTATTGCATGTGGAGAAAAAACAACTGACCAAGCACATCACTCTGAATATACCACTGTGGTGACACATGGTGGTGGCAGCATCATGCTATGGGAACGTGTTTCATCAGCAGGGACCAAAATATAACTTTTTAATCTACATTCAAACTACTAATACAGCTTAAAACGTCTAACACTGCACCCTAGTGGCAGCATCATGATTTTCTACTATCGCATTAATGTGTCACAAAATATATTCAAGTTTGGGATTTTACATTAATAACATTTCAAAAAGTGTCACATGTTAACACTGTAAAACTGTATTTTCACCCTGGTTATCATATTTGCATAATTCATTTTAAACTAACAATCGTGTCAATATTTTAGCAAAATTAAACCAGCATTGCAAAATAATGAAAATGAGCAGCACAAACTGTTTTCTGCATGTCTGTTGTGTAAAATCCTTTTTATTTGATCAAAAGGGAGTTTTTACATGTTCAGATGAAATTTAAGGCTCAACTTGCTTTTGTTGCAACAAGAATTATGAAAATGAGCTAAATAAATCTCTGCACCTGTTATCATTTAAGCTTTTTATTTATTTATAAAAATAATTTAATCCAGTAAAATCATAACAATCCTAAGGAGAAGGTAAATGTCAAATATTTAGTTTTTTTAGTGTTCCACACTTTTCCGTACTGAAAACTTAATCTTTCAGCTAAATTAAATCCTAAATAGTGTATAAATGGTGCAGCATTGTCTCCATGGTTATGGTTAGACGCGTCTCCATAATGCCGTATTTTACATAATCTTTCTGATTATACTTACTTATAAAGTTAATCTTCTTACCTTGTGGAAAAAATGTTTGCTGTAAACCTCTGACTACACCAAGGGCTGCCAATCAATATGTATGATTAAAGGCTAAAATCGATCACTGCCTAACTTTCCTCATTAAAAGTCATAAAATAAAATGACAAGTTTGGTTTATATCCTTCTCTGTTTGCGTAGCCGGCCTCGCAGCTCCCTGTGACAATGTTTAAAGTGAAATCAACCAAATAAAAGCGACATATTGAGTCACAGACGCCTGTTTTTAGATGAGCTGTGAAGGAGCGCGTTGGTTGTTTTGACCTCCGTCATGGCGGAGTGGGCGGAGCTCTGCGGAGCGTGACGTCTCAAATTGTGACATCCCAGATGGCGAAGTCGTATGCAAACATCTGAATGTGATTAATACAATAAAATCTGTAAGATCTGCTCTGTTATTACCCTGACATTTAGCTAAAAGGACTGCTTTGTGTAACGGACCTAAAACTGGACAAGAATAGTCCGGTTTCCTGTCAGACAGTGATACATATGATTATGTTAAACAGCATATGTTGATATCTGAATACTCACAAAGCAAAATTAAGGAGAGCTTCTCCACCAAGTACCGTTCGACCTCTGGACCGTAGGTAGTCTACTAAACAGCCCTGAAAAATCAAAACAAACATGTAATTTTTGAATGTTTAAGTTAAAAACTCTCCCAGCTGGGACAAATGATCCAGTATGTGTCCTCCTACCTTGGCCATATATTCAGTAACTATAAAAAGACTCCCGTTCTCTTCTACAATCACACCAAGCAGCTGTACCAGATTATTGTGCCGTAGTTGCCTAATGAGAAGGAAGAGCATGAGGATGTCACAACGGGCTTTTCTGTTTCTGAGACGCGCCATTTCTGTATTTTAAGGCCTTACGTCATGACAGAGGCTTCTGCAATAAAAGCCTGAGCCGTAGCATCGTTTTTTATGCACTTCACAGCTACTTTTGTCCCTCTGTAGTCTCCCACCATGACATCTGGAGAAAAAAAACAAACAGTTGATCACAAAATGGGAAAATGTGCAACAGGAACAACAACCTTTTGTAACGGACATGCTGCCATTTAAGTTTCTAATCATTTGCGTTTTAGTTGATAGACCAACACAAAGTAGCAACAACTGAGAAGCAGGAAGAAAAAGATTTTTGGTTCTCCTTTTTTTTTTTTAAGAGCAAATAAGATGTGAAAAAACTGTTTTCAACCCCCTTTTTTATTATACCCTCAAATAAAATCTGCCAATTGCCTTCAAACTGAAAATACAAAGTATTTTTGTCAAGTTTCCAGTGCAGATATCAGCACATATGAATTAAGACAAAAGTAACTTTGAAGTGTTTACTTTTGAGCAGAACATAGGGGATTTTGGCAAGCATTGAAAACTCAACTGAGTGAGGAATTTTCTAAAAATATAAATAAATATTCCTGACGATTTGAAGTGAATAAAATGCACAACATGCTTCACAGTTTGTTATCTGAAGAAAAAATGTAAATCAGTCCCTCATTTCCCTTCCACCTTGCAGTTTTGAGATCTTTTATTTTGGTTAACCAGATTAAATCCTTATCTTTGTGTGTAAATGAATATGAATACTTTCTAAATGCAGCGTAGATTACACTGAATTCTCCTATAAACATTAAAACAGGAAATCCTGGTGCATGGAGAAGAAAAGGTACTTACCTCCAAATTCTCCTTTTCCAATAACCTGTTGAAGCTTCAAGTCTTTTCTGCTCATCGACCATCCACCTGTTGGAAAAGACATATTGGTGACAACATGTGGTGATAAAGAAAAGGTCCGTGCATCATTCATAAACTTTCTTACTCCTGGAGAATTCATCCTGCGCGGCCACCGTTCCTTCCTCCAGCTTTGGTTTTATGAGCTTGGTGCACAAACCGTCTGCGTCTTTGGTGTAGTGCTGGACACAGAAAAAGAACCAAAACATGGTCAAATGAAGATAATTTACAGTCACAGTGATACACTGAAACAAAGAAAATTGTAATTATTTCAATAAGGAACTGAAACTTCCTTTATACTCTATAAAAACCCAAAACCGTACAAAGATATTGGGTTTAGTTTCTGGCGCAAATATCTCCGTACACATGAAATAGACAAAAGTGACTTGCACCGAACAGCTTCATCTCATAGATTATCTACACACACATGTCTATCTATCACATGAATTACTTTATTACTTATTTATTCATTTATTTTTGTGTAGTAAATTTCTTAATCTGGGACCTGAGTTCTAATTTTGTACCACAAATGTTTTTTGAGGAAAAGAATCCGCTAGTCGAACTAGAACGTTTTCATCCATATTAAGGAATTATTGACTTAAAACAACCTGCTATATGTTGCTGAAAAATTACTTGCAAGTTAATTTTATTTTATTTCAGTTGTAGCAGAAACTAGACAAAATTACTTCTTGTATTTTCACAGTGTAGATCATTTCGTTTCTCCTCACGTGTTGCTGTACAGATTAATGCAAATAAAAGGTCGTATTTTTGCTCTAAAAAAAAAGATAAAAAGAGATCGAAGGCCGTCTGTCTCGTTTGCATCATCCACAAAAAGCTAACGGGTCAGAAGACAGAAAACAAGACATGCAGACACTAAAAAACAAAACTAATAAAGACACATTCAGCCTGAAAGACGCTTATCTCTTCCTGGTAATCTCAACCACGTGTCATATAACATCCGCTAAATGCTGCACAGAAGTTAATTTTAAACTATTTTTAACTATGAAATAAATTCTTGGAATAAACAGACGCTTCCCCTTGTATATCTGCATTACATAGCAGCCAATTTATGATTAATTTGGACATTTCTTTTTGACTTTTTATGCTTGCGCTACCAAACTAAAAAACGTTGTGAAAACAGACCAACTCAGAAAGTTCCTCCACCTTTACAATTTAAAGGACTTTATTTTGTCCTGCTTCAAAAATTTACATTCATCTCAAGCCAGAAAACGACTGAAATCTTTGAATTTTATAAAAAACCTTCAGTTTGTTTTATGGTGAAGCTGTTTAATTTTTCCAAAGAGTCTTAGAGGAAGGCAAATAATCCAACATTGTGAACAGGACATGATTTATTCGGGTTTTTAAGGGTGTCGTTTTTGGGGGGAGAAATACGGGATCAGCGTCGACTGAAGCAGGCGTTCTGTTTACCTGTGCTACCTCTAAATCCGTCCCACCGTGTCGCAGTGCGCACGCCCACATCGCATACTGCTGACTCAGCAGATTTCTTATAAATACGTGGAAGTTTTGTTTCAGGCGTTTTTATTTAATTGAAGATGACGGTGAGCTTTATTTAATTCATTTAACACCTGGCTTTTGTTTCACTTTACATGATTATAATGGCTTTAGTTTGTCGTCTGCAAAGTTGTTACTTCTAAACGAGTCATTGTTTGGCGGTTTTTGTTAATTGGGCTTTTTGTCCCTATATTTTTTTAATATTTTAGTTTAACTACACTCTTTTTTTATTATTAAACTTTGCTAAACAGATGTTAGCGATGCTATGTGGGATTGCAGCTGGAATAGTCGTGTAATATTATGTATATTAATAATATCCTGATAAAGTCTGTCATACAACGTATTAATGCGCAAAAGAGAGTTGATGTGCTGTCTATGTTTAATTTAATTCCAATAAAAATGTGTTTCCCCTGTCTGATACTGATGAATTATTACAAACATTTTTAAACAGGTGCAAACATCTACAGCTTTTCATTTTATACAGGTAGGTTATTCAGATCTTCTTGTGGTTTCATCATGTATATAAATTGTTCCAATGCTAAGCTAATCATAACTCCTAAGCTTCGCGTCACTCGAATAATGTTACCCAATATATTGAACATTAACACAACCCACTATAGGTTTCTGTTTGTAAACATGATGGAAGCAGCTTTAGACGCGTGGCCCTGACAGACTTGGCGCCTATCCGTGCTATGGTAGGAAAATCTGACGAGGTAGCGTTGACAGTCAGGACACCGGCCGTGTTTGGGATCAACGTCCCGTTTCCTGTCAGAATCTCAGCTGCAAAAACGTTTAAAAAATGGAAATCTAAGATAACTGTTTATTTTTTGCAGGTCTTTTTGGGTGAAGTTTCTGCCAGTTTTGCGCATCTACCAACGAAAGTTTCAATTTTTAAGTCCATAAGGGCGATTTATAGTGAGATTAAAATACACACAGGTGGCTCCATTTACGAAATAACAGGCAGATGTTTGCACTGGAATTTTATTTTAGCGTGTCAGAGTACAAGGGTCTACATATAAATGTAAACCACATGTTTCTTTCTCCTTTTTTTGTCAAAAACTATGTCAATTTCCCCTGCAATTGCAGCTACATTCGACTTTATGTTGATTTACTGCCGAAATTCCCCCCAAAACACAGACATCTGTATAACCACAGATGTCTGTGGTTATACCAAGACAAGTTGTGGAAAAAGTTCAAGTATAAATATGGTTGTGTGTGTACTTTTTTAGTGAAAAGGAACTGGACGTGCATGACTGAGGCTAAATTCGTCTGCTTGTGCTTTAAGAATGTATTTGTGACATAATCAGTGCAGCGTTTAGTGTTTTTTATGGTGGTTCTTTTGTTATCACTGCATTTCTTGGTCCCTGTGTTGTTTGGTTTTGCAGAAAATTTAGATGAAAAACTTAAGACACACTAACAGAGCTGCTGCATCAAGAAACCGGCGCTCTGGAGTCCACAGCTCACTGTGCAGTGTGACCTGCTGGCCTGCAGAGGGCTCCCTAAGCAAATCTGAATCCTTCATTTATACAGAGAATATTCAGAAACTCTACTTTTACTTAGTAATACTTTTTTTAAAAATCGCAGATCAAAAAAAGATCTTTAAATAGGAAAAGCAGCCAGTTTGACAGTAAGAGTGTCTTGCCTTTTTGAGGTTATAACTCCGAGCCTCAGCATAATGTTCACTTCCTCTTTGACACTTCCTGTTCACTACATGTTCCAGGAACTACATGGTGTCTGTGAAGTTGTACAGTTATATCTGCACCTTTAATCCTCACCCACCTTCACTCCCAAACCATATGTAAAAATAATGCATTTATTTGTGGCGTCTAAACCATGAGTCTCACCTCAACCAGCTGCATGAGATTCTCGAAATAGGCTTCCTCGTCAATAGTAAGCTTTCCATTTTTGTAGATGATGCGGTAGTGCTCCACCTTCCCATCGCAGCTCACACACAGAGTGTAGTCGCCGGGGAAGTTGGTGCTCTCGCGCACCAAGAACAGGCCCGTCTCAGGAGGGTCAAGCAGCCGCTCGGCCTGGTCTCGCGTTATCTTCCCGTGGAACCATCTGGAAGAACCAGGGACAGAAACCGTCCGCATCGATGTGGATCCATTTACAAGGAAAACAATAATACAAAACATGTAATTACATCAGTATTCAAACACAGGAGACTTTAGATGTATAGGTCAGTAACTTTGAGAGTTTGGCTTAATTTTATCTTTTTAATTTCAACGCCTTCCTTCTTTGTTTCATGGTGTCATGGACTGTTCTTCTAATTTACATGTTTAGTGTTAATGTTCAACTCTGCATAGTATTTTACATGGGATCTCGTCCTTCTGCGTGAAATATGTACATAAAATGGCTTCTTTGCTCTCTTTCTGCACACAGACACAGCTGCTCTTATATTTGGCTGCACGATATCAGGAAAACATGCAGTTTTATAAATATAGCTAAATACTGCAATTAACATATCTTCCTCAGTTTTCAACTGACTTTTCCACTGCGATTATTTCAATACTACTTTATAAAAAATGTAAGGTTTGGGTAACTGATTTTCTGTTACTTTATATGCATAAATTCATCCAACCATCAAATATATTATCGACTTGCAGCGTGCAAATGCTTTGTGATTCTGCCTTTAACACTGACGTATGCCGTGCAGCTCAACTCTTTATTACATAGGAGTATTTATGTCAGGAAAAAGAGAAGGTTGGCATTTCTCTGTCATGGAAGCAGGATGAACATTAAATAGTATAATAATTCAGAATGAAAAGTCTAAACCAAACTGAAATTACAATAATGATCACTGCAGTTATTCTTTTTTATGATGTTGCTGATCCTGTGAAAAAGCTCAAACATTCTTACTTTTCAAGGATCAGGCTGTTCATAATTAATGCTGCAAACATGTTAAACATGCTAATAATAGTTGATAAAGCGTAAACTAAATAATTATAACAAATAATAACTGTGAAAACTAAAAAGGAAATTGTGTTTAATTGCAAAGCTGTTACGATTCATTTATAGTTGCAATGAAACAATATAATAATGAAAAAAATCTGATATATATGTATTTTAGTGATAAGTTAAACAGAACTGTTTTTCTGAAATTACTGTGTCAAAGAAAGTTAAATTGTTTGTGTTTTTATCAGGGCTCTGATCTGGATATATTCTTATCTCTGTGTCTTTAAATGAATAAAAACTAAAAAAACAAAAAGACAAAATTTGTGACTAAAAACAGAAACCTTCAGTTACTTCATGTCTATAAGCTAAAACACATATTTTCATGAAGTGATGAAAACAAGAAAGAAGATAAGATCAAACTAGAACAGCGAGCAGTTATCAACGGTTCTGAGCCCGACCCAGCAGGCCCGACCCAGCAGGCCCACTCCTGTCCCCGTCACCCCTTCTGCACTACATCATTTGGAAACTCCCATCTACTTCTTAGTAAAACTTAGCATGCCAATGTCATTAAAAAATCTAATTATTGCTCAATGTTTTTAAAAGAGCTTCCACTCTGCCTGTGTCATGCATTGAGTCTCGGAGAAAAGTTCATCCTCCATTACCTCAGTGACCCCAAATGAACCTTCCATGCAAATAACTGAAATGATGATTACGGACCTTTGCATAGTCCCTGTGACCAGTTATATTACAGAGGTAGTCAAATATTCAAATGCAGCTTTCTGAGGGTAAAGAAACTGCATTTGCATGTGGCTCCATAGGAAATTTAAATACCATGCAGAGCTTGTTGGAAAGCTCAGGACAAAAGCATTTCATCACAGAAGTATAATCCTCCTCCGTCTCAACCGTTGACAAAGGCGTTTCCTGCAACTGTTTTTTGTATTAGAGAATAATAATAACCTTTCTGAAAATGTAAATAGCTTTATCTCATCTTAGACTCTATAATAAGAACTTTTAACCCCAGGGTGGCAGCAGCTTTCATGACTTCCTGAGATTTGGTATCAAATCATTTTTTCATATCAATACTATTTGCGTGTTGGTGCATTTGCAGCTTTATCTTCATGAAAATATCGAAGACAATTTTGTGATCCAGAGCCCTAAAAATAAACCTGTTATTCATGCAAAGATGCACACACACACGGAAACCCGTCAGGGGGGCAAAACCGGGTAAGATTTTCGAGATTACATCCGTCTAAAAACAGAAGAGGAGACAACAGGAAACTGTGTGGAGTTCATGCGAAGCTGAGGTGGAGGCAGACACCAGAGCTCTGCAATTACAACACAGGCCGAACAAACTGAGGCCTCCATTCACACAACCACAGCAGCTCTGCTACGGCTAAACAGGCCACTGGCTTCTGCAACCACACAGTCATAGGAAGAGGCTCATTTGGGCCATTTCTGTAAACACCAGGCTGTGAGGTGGTGTGGTTGCAAGAGGTTTGAGCAACAGAAGCCTTAACCTAATCCTGATCATTGTAAAAGTTAAAGATTAGATTGTGGCCAGGGAGCTAGTAAAAGTTAAAATTATGCTAGCATGAACAAAAAAAGGTCACATTTGGCGTTTCTATTGTTAGCGAAAAAGACTCGAAGTCGATTAGTAACTTCCAAAATAGCTTTTTTACACTAAAGGGCCCTTCTGGGTCACACCCTCTAACCAGATATGTGCTTCCAGCTATAAATGTAGCATCTGCGAGTGTATTCACATTCATTTAGGAGTGTTAATAATAAACTGCTGGTACTTTGGTGAAAGGATAATTCCTCGTTGCAATATTTACATCCAAATCTGTGTGATATCCCAAAAGTGTCTCCATCGCAGTTTTGTGGAAAACATCTAATTTGACACGGCCAACAAACCACAAAAAGTTTTGGTAGCTTGTTTCCTCTAAGCAAATTTATTTTCATTTAATCTAAATAAATCAACAGGAAGATGTTACTACTGTCAAAAGCAACAAAGAAGACGACAGGAAGTAGCAGAACGATGATGGGTTTGTTTTGGGGTTTTTTGGACGATGTGCAGCTGGCTCCAGTAGCGCTCTCACAGCGTCGCACAGTTCGTAGAAACGTACGAGTCATTTTGACGTGTTCTGTAAAATCGCAAACAATTCCCCCAAAGCGCTGCATACGTTCCGCTCCAGGGCATAAGGGGCTTGTTACTCCACCGCCTGAATAAAACTTCGACTTCTCCTCTGATTGGCTGACAGGTTGATGGCTGAATTATGACTGCATCTCATGTAACTATTTACATCAGTCGCCACCAGGATTTCATGACGTATCAGAAGCTGATTTACGTGTCCTTTTAATTCCTCATTTAATAAAAATTGTTTTTTTTACATTAGCAGAACAGCACCAAAGATTTGAGCACATTTGACATTGAGGTGCAGATTCTGATGAGTCACTTTTGACTTCACTCCTCTGATTTGTGTTTTTTTGTGTCACACATGGATATAATGAAAATAAACCCACAAGCCCCAACACGACTAAGAAGTGAAAGTTGTAAAAATGACGACGTAAGTCCTTCCAGAAGCTTGAGGAACCTGTTCACTTACGGCATGAGACTCAGCTTGCCTCCGGATTTCACACCTTCTCTTTTCTGGACGTAATTCGCCGGGATCGTTCCCTCTTGGCCCGCAGCATTTTTAGCGTGGTACCAGTTTGGATCCTGGAAACACGAGAATGTCAGCGGTGAAAAGCATCACCCGAAGGAGGAACGTTTCACCCCGACGGTCAGGAGTAAAGACTTACTTTTGTGACCACGATGATCGTCAACACGTCTCCTTTGTTGAACGACAGGTCCTGATCCGTTGTGCCTTTGAAGCTGTACCTCGCCACGCACTCGGTGCCCTGCGGCCACAGACTCTGGAGCATCGGATACGGCGGATACGTCGCGTCAGAAACTCAGAATAAACTCATAACACTTTAATTGAAACCTGACATACTGGTTGTCATGAACACAGAGGAGTCTTAATGGATGTTTATGACTGTTGTCATCGAGTCATTCTGTAAATCATCAAGTTTATTTTTATTACACGTTTCAGCTCAAAGTGCTTTACATAATAAAAACACAAAATCCACCTGGTTAGAACCAAATCTAACCAGGTGGATTTTATAGTCTGGATTTGAAGGAACTCAGTGTTTCGGCTGTTTTACAGTTTTTTTGGAAGTGTGTTCCAGATTTGTGATGCATAGAAGCTGAATGCTGCTTCTCCGTGTTTGGTTCTGGTTCTGGATGCAAAGCAGAACCAGAAGCTGTAAGGTTGCTATGACAACAGCAGATATTTAATATATAGTGGTCCTAAACCGATCAATGATTTATTAACGATCAGTGAAGTCCATTCACTGAGACTTTAAAGTACAGAGGAAGGACTTTATAACTGGGTGATTTAATCTAACTTCCTGGTTTTAGTCAGAACTCCAGCAGCAGCTGCACTGTAAAACAGATGAGCTGTGTTAGTTGTGTCTACTATAATTTACTCTTTTAGTTAAATAAATTTATCCAGTTTTAGATGTTGAACCTAAATGTGAGTTTGTGAAAGATAAACTGACAGCAGTAAGTTGTGTTAACTTTTATTAATTCAGTCAAACCTCCAAGAGTTGAATAAACTGGAGTTTTTATGTTAGCACTTAAAAAACTGAAAGAGGAGAAAGACAGGAGTGGGAACTATTTCCCAGAATGCTTAGCAGCATGTTTTTGTCTCCTGAGATGGAAGTGCGTCACATTGATCTGACTTTTGTGTTTTATTAATGCAAATGTTCATTTTAATGCAATTCTCAGTTAGCAAAGCTTGAAGATAATGTCCTGTTCACACTAAATGTTTCTGAGCTGAATTCATTGGGATGTTTAATAAAATTCATTATCAGATCAGAAATTTTGTTCCTGCAGTTTGAAATAAGAGTTTAAATTATTTTAAAGTAAAATAAGTATTTATTTTAACTTGAGTAAAATAATAGAGAAATGTGGCTCTTGAACTCGGTGAGAGCAATTTGTTTCATTGCATATTGTGAAATAATTATTTGGTTTAATTTGCAGCATTAAGTTAAAACTCAATTCAAGATGAATGAAGTTAAAAAACAATGTTTAAACAACTCGTCTCTTGTTGTTAAATCGACTTCATGAACCTTATTTTCTGAGTTGAAACCAAAACAATTTTCTTGTTGACTTAAATTGCATTTTCAAGTTAAACCACATTTAAATGTTTTACAGTGTGTATCTTTCTGATTGATGTTTTATTCAGATCTGTGAATAAAAACAGTCTCATCAACGTGGCTAAAGATAAACACATGGATAAGTTTCTCTAATTGTGGAAATTTTCTTCAAGTAATGGAAGGCTGACTTTGTAACCGTCTTTATGTGTTTTTAAATGAAAAGTGGAATTAAAACTTGCATTAAATTGCATTGAAAGTCTCATTATTTACCAAATGACACTATGTGCCATAAACATGACGACTCATTCATGTTTATGGCAGCTGTGATGTCAGTCTTATGCATATAAAGTGTTACCAGCAGGTTTTAATTTTGACAAACGCCAGTGCATGAGGGCAAGGTTTCTAAATTACCTGGACCTCTGTCATGGTGAGGTTCTTGGATCCTCTCACAGGTGAGGTGTTCTCCCTGCTACCATCAGAGCTGGTACCTGCAGAGAAGAAGACAAAAAAATTGAGCAAAAAGAGGCTCTGCTTGAAAAAGCTGCAAACCACAAGCAAATTTCAGGCAGACATTGAATTTGTCCGGTTTTATTTTTTTCTTTTTAGTCAGTTCAGACACGCGTGACAATTCAAATCATCCACCGAGTTTTCATTTGAATGCACTGCAAACACAGATCTGACAATGCTGGTAAAAATAACCTGCTGGTATGAAAAGCAGAACCAACAGGCCTTTTTTTTTTTACAATCACACTTTCAAACTAGTGCGCAAGTTTCCATGACGTAAGCCATGTAAATATAGAGCAGCAGCTTCCAAGAGTCCAGAAAGACTACAAACACACAGAAATTGATTTTCGAGATTTAAAAAAATGGGAGAAAAGTCCATTTTTGAACATGTTTAGAGAGATAAAACCAAGGCTCAGGTCTCCACCAGCACTGGACTCCAGACTTGTGATGACCAGATGTTAGGGTCTCCATTCCCTTCAGACTCTGTGCTCCTATCACGCACACACCAATCAGACGAGAGGCGACGTTGTTAAATGTCATGCAAAATACGCCCCCTCCCCTGTCTCACAACCCCACTTCCTCTCTTCCTCTTTCAGTTCCCACGAGGAGGTGAAGTCGCTCAACGATCCATGCTAAAGGGAAACTTCAGCTCCTAATAATCCGTCACTTTACATGAGGTCACATCCGTCACCATGTCAACTTTCTGCATGATATCCCAGAGTCAGAGTCCTGGCTGCTTAGAAACCAGAAAGAAAACATCACAAGTTCCCCTCCTCATAGCCTCCCTTTGCTGAATAATACTGAGAATTTACTGGTTTTTACTGGTGCAGAACGTAATTCTCACGAGTCACAAAGACGGCTGTCTCTCACCAGTTTCTCCGTAACGGATGTTGACCTCTTGATGCAAAACTGCAGCTGTCTTCTGAGGATCTGGATGCATTTCCTGCCCTCAGCACCCCCCTCCCCCTCCTCAATCTGACTCATCTATATAACACTACAACATTCCAGTAACACAAGCTGCTTTAATTACAACTTTACAGAATAACAATGCTGAGAATTTTTCTGCCAATAAGAGATGCTGTTTTTGGTATCACTTCATTTGAAGAGGTGTGCATGAGACTGACATAACACCTGTCATGAAGATGGAGGAATTCACGACTTTTGTCATTAAGTGTCATTTGGGGGGAGGGGGGGAAATGTAACTTTTAATGCAATGCTTCATTAAAACTTGCATTAAAAGTCAATTAAAATCTTCAGCTTTGCATTATTTGGCAAATGATAAACATAAACCCGTCCTCAAACAGCGTTTGAAAAATTCAACCAAAGTGGGCGGGGCCAGGAGACGCTGAGGGGCGTGGCTAATGGAGAGCGTTAAGCCAGGTTGTGACCAGGGAAACGCTGTTACCAACTTGTCGTATTTAGTGACATTTCAGACCCTTCTAGTGACAAATCTAGAGACAAATCTAATGACTTTTGTGCGTTATTGCTGACAGCAGGAGGGCTGGGGAAAATTGAACTGCAATTACCATGTCCAACCCAAAGGGGGCAGCACTGAGATGGATTAAGGCCAAATATTGCACTTTTAAATTCACTATTTGTAAAGAAACATAAAGATGATACCCTTAAGGATGTGATTTATAGCCTTTTTCAGCAAAAAAAGAAGATAATTTGGGGTTTTGCTACTCTTTAAGTAGCACCACATAACACTCTTATTGTGAAAGTTGAGATGAAAGTTTGCTAACTGTAAGCTCTGCCCTAGCAGCTAATTAACCAGGCAGTATTCTTGTGTTACCCTATAGCAATCAGAGTGCCAATAATAACAATCACTTCTATCAAAATAGCAGCATATTAAACATAATACTGCAGGAATTCTTGAGAAATTCAATGATGTACTTTTTTTTTTTTCCTTTATCGCTGCAAATCTGTTGTATTTTTACTCACAGTCACTTATTTTAAATCACAAAGTCACATAAAACATTAATGACTAATTTAAAACAGATTATAATACTTTACTTAACTGGAAATGAATCATCTTCTCTGGTGCTTAAAGTGCCCTGGAATGACTCCTGCAGTCAGTTGCACAATATAAACTAAAGTTAATCGAACACAGATGCACACCGTCAGGACCAGAGAGTGTAAAACCTTCGAGGTTCACAGACACAGCAAGGCTTCAAATCTTCAGGCTGTTATCACTGATGAGACGGAAATCACAAGATGATTATCTGGAGGGTTGCAGGCTAATAATTAGCATTTGGGTTTTCTGCTTCAGTACATTTAGTCTGAAATAGTTGGATAATGGAGGCTGCAGCCACAAGTTCAAACGCTAATGTGAGTCAGTTTACACACTTTACAGTCTGCCATGATTAAGGGCCCTCTATAGCTCAACTGCATTGTGTTTTATGACGTATGAGCTTGAAATTAAATAAGAGTTTACCATCATTTTATACACACTAACAACATTCTGTCGAATTTCAAATCATGATCACCAGCTAAACAACCAACTTAGGGTTTAAAATCCTTGAAAAAGCTTGAATTTGTGTTTTAAAGGTTTGGAAAGATTTCTGATTGAAGTCCTTGAAATCACCGTTTTATCATAAAATGCAATCCAACGCTTGATTGTAGCTGAAACCACATATTTTTTTATACACCTTTAAAAAAGACACTTTTTTTTCTCAGTGTCTGAAGTTAAATCAGATTAAATTTTTCTCATAAATATTTTTATTTGTTAAATTTGTTAAAACTCAGTAAGAATATTTTTTAGGTAATTTTTTTGTAACTTTCTCTGCATATTTTGTCTAACCATTTAATGTTATCATGTAATTTACTTTATCATGATTTAGTTGGATTTTTCAATGTAATGACTTATTGATCATATTTATATTTTATCAACATTACAGATTTGAGACATCATGCTAAATGTCACAGAAAATACATTTACATGGCTTTTTTAAAATGGAAGAAATTTTATCCAATATTACTTATTCTGACGCGACTCTGTTCAGATCTTCTCTAAAGTGATGATGATTCACTCACCTCAGAATGCCGAATGCTTCGAGTGGCTACAACAGCAGGGCAGACCAACCTATTTCTTAATAAATTCAGCTTATACTGGTTCTTTCTTAATTGGAAACAGTTTATGAACGTTTAGCTAAAGATAGTTGAGTGGTAAAAATAATCTTACATGGTGTGAACACAAACAGGTTCACACCATTAGCAGCACACACTGCAGGAGCAGCTGACAGGGTTTTATGGTGCACAAAAATTTATAGTTTTGATGGAAAAATTTTCACTTATAAGATTGGAAAAATGAAAAATGTGTTATTACAAATGAACTAATCTGTTGACTTCTTTGTCAATATTGAAGAATTATTGGCTTAAAACAAGCTTCTGTGTCTTGCTGTAAATGTAGTTTTATTTCAAGTGTTTTAAGATGTTTTCACAAGAAATAAGACATAAATACTTTGTAAGATTTTGTATTTTTGCAAATTATTATAGATGGACAGAAAAGGATTATTTTTTTGGGGAAAAATCCAGATAAATTAAACATTTAAAAATGTAATAGAAAGCTTTGCCACCAAAATGTTGATTTCTGTCGCTCTGGATGTTTTCCCCAGAGAAAAGTTTACATTTTGGAACATGAGTGGATTTGAACTCCACAGAAATAAATCATGGAGGCTAAAGCTGCCACACTGTCTTAGATTTAATTTTCAGGAAACTGAATAGATTATTCCAGCAAAAGCTTTTGGCAGCTGAGTGAATCTCCCTTCAGGGAAGCTCACAAGGCGATCATTGTGAGTCGGTCCAGTTTCCACAGACTTGCGTCTCGCTGAGCGTCCATCACCATCAGTCTGGACAGCGAGAAGCTTTGAGGCCTGGAGTGAAAATATGACATATTCTTCTCAAGATAGAGTCCAACTGTCTGACACATTTAAAGCTTTAATGCCAGAGGTGTCAAACTCATTTTCATTTTGGGCTGTATTGAAAATCTGAATGTTCTTAAAGAGCCGCTTGACCCAGAATGTATTGAATTAAAACCATTTAATCTGTTAAATATCCATAAATATCTGTTCCCAAAGGATTCTGAACTTTTTGAAATTAAAATTGCAGATTTTGTGGTTCTAATACAAACATGTTTGTAAGAAATTTTTACAATATTTGTGCTAACGGATTACGTAAAACGTGTCAAACTCGAGGCCCAGGGGCCAAATCTGGCCCGCCGTAGCTTTTTATGTGGTCCTGTAGACTCCAAATTATATCAAGAAGTCGCTCCAATTTCTCACAAATCTGCAAAATTCACACAAAATCAACAGATTTCCACATATTCTTTGGATTTTAGAAACTTAAAACATTGCAGTCACTTAAACGCTGAGTTTAACTGACACATTTAACGTCAGATGTTAGAGATCGTAAAAATATTCCTTACAAATATTTCTGCAAAATCTGCAATTTTGATTGCAAAAAATAAAAAATAAAAAAATAAAAAACAATGACAAAATCCTACAGGAACAGCTATTTGTTGACATTTTAACAGTTTAATGGGTTTCATCAACACATTCTGGCCCTTTAAGAACATTCAGATTTTTGATTTGGTCCAAAATGAAAATGTTAAATGTGACTTTTTAATCACTCGCCGACTACAACTTCATATCAAGAAATTTGATTTATTTGATTTGTGAAAAACTGGAGGGACCTTGTTGATGTAATTTAGAGTCTAAGGGGCCACATGAAACGCTACAGTGGGCCAGATTTGGCCCCCGGGCCTCCAGTTTGACATAAGTGCTTTAATGGAACAAAAGAATCAAATAAACTTCACAATAATACTACAGGATTACGAACATATTTACACTCCACACTATAGAGGTTGGTGTTATGCAAGTCAGTGAATGTCTGAGCTGCTCAGATCAGAGGGAAACTGACTGCATGAAGCAAGACGGGACAGGAATGCAGAACCCACTTCTCTGGAGTTTTTTGTTTTTGGGATCTGCCACTCCCTCGGCGATCCGCAGACAAAATCTGAACTGAAGAATTATGACTCTGCTTTTGGGCAGAAAGGGATATTTTAATTTATTTTAATACTAAACGAGAGCAAAGCAGCATTAGAAATTATAAACAAAGTGGTGAGAAGTGGATGAGATGTTGCACTTACAAACCAAATTCAAAGTTCAAAAGGAAAATTTATTTTATATAATAAAATCAATGATTGACAGAAGATTGTGCTGCTTTTTAAAATATCCTCTCGTCAATTAATGGCGGTATTTTTATTTAAAGTTTCTTTTACTTTGTTTTTTAAAAAAAATTCAACATCTAATTTGAGCGCATTTATTCAGCAGCAGAAAATGAAGAATTGCTTACGACCAAATGTTTTCATCACAATCATAAAACGATCGTTTTACCCTTTCTGTGCAACAAATATCACCGAAACATTTTTATAATTTCATTTTTAAATTGCATTTAGTGTGCAAGCCCCTGCAACATTTTACACTTTTCCCTCTGTGGAGAAAAAAAAAAAAAAAGCACATTTCTGTCAGCCACTGTAAATAGGAAAGATGTGAGAACATTCAAATTCAATTAAAAAATAATTGCATTTTTTAAATTCAAATATTTAAAAAAGCTTAAACTAAGAAATTCAAGTTGTTTAACATTTAAATGTTTAAATTTAACTCGTCAAATTAAAGCTTTATTGTCGACGGTGATGACAGGAAAGATCTGCTGTAGCAGTTTGTATTACAGTACATTCGAAGGAGCATCTGACTGAAGAAACTGTCAACGTGCGATTAAAGCAGGGAGCTCTTTTGCTGATGCTGCTGCTTTCCAAGCATCAATCATATTTACATCGAAGGCAGTAAATAAAAAGCTTACCTGCCAAATGTTCTGCCTACATTTGGCAGGTAGAACGATTCGAACTCCTTTTAAATCTCAGATCAAACTTATCTCCGTCTTTGTTAACTGACGTTATTGACACTTGATTTATTTCAGATGCAGTTTGCGGTTTTTTACTGTCCTCTTCACTGTGTTTAATGACAAGATAAAGTTATTAGAGTCTGAATCATTCAAACTGTTTTAGACTTTAATAATAACTTTGGGAACATTTCTCATAGATGTTCCTTTACTGCGCTGGTTAAATACTGTGTACTCTTGTCTTTCCCACTTTGAAGAATTGCTAATACAGAAGATTACATTATTATTATTATTAGCCAATATAGAAATGGTTTGATTACTGTAACACCAATAATAAATAAATTAAAATAAATTTGGATTTTTATCGTTTCCTTGATGTGAATTTAAGCTGCAGAAATAAAACAATAATATAATTTAAAGTTTTGCTTGTTTTTTGTTTTTTTACTGGAGTGTCAACAAACAGGCCTGTCAAAATAACTAATTTTGCCGGATAATAAATTGTCACAGAAGTTATTGAGATAAACGGTAATATTGTTGTTTTGAAACAATTTTTAAGTAACGTAATGCATTCTCAATTCATTTTACATTTTAACATTTAACACCAGAACTGGAAGACATTTAAAATATTAAAAATACATAAAACAACAGATAAAACTAATACAATGAATAATAAAAGTCTCAAATGATTAACAAATCAAAGCAAATTGAGATAAATGACCTATTAGCTAAATAATTATTACATAATTATTACATTAGAGAGCATTAAAAACAAACCATTTTCAGGAGCAGCTAAGGGTGAAAATTTGGGTGAAAGTTTCAATTTGAAAAAGAAAAAAATAAAAATTATTAAAGACAATGTATAAATGTACCAATTTAAAATGTAACATAAAAATTTCTATTATCTATTTAAGACTTTTTAAGGCCCATATTGAGACATTACACTTACATAAAGTCCAATGCAGCTTCAGAAGTCACAAAATTAGCTAAAATAAAGAGTTCATGTGGTGTTTAAATGGTGGTTTCACTCCACAGCTTTTGTGCTTTTACCTGGTTTTGTCATATTTCCAGCTCTGGAAAAAATGGAGAGGCCACTTAAAATAATCAGTTTCTCCGATTTTACATTTTAAAGGTTTACTAAAATGAAAATGTTTCTTTTATTCTATAAACTGACAACATGTCTCTGAAATTACAAGCAAAATTTAGTATTTATTTGCAGACAATATAACAAAAGGTGCTTTCAGACCTCAAATAACGCAAAGAAAACAAGTCCATACACATTTAGAAACGACAATACTAATGTTTTAACTCAGGAAGAGTTCAGGAATCAGTATTTGGTGGAATAATGAAAAGAAGAGTGCAGCAGTTCCCAGATGTTTTCCTGAGAAGAAAATCGTCTCTGCATTTGCTGCAGGTCACACTTCACTGAACAAACTCTCCATCAGGTCCAGCAACACAGTCTTTCATTGTATCATTTTAATAGCCCTCGCTAATTTATTTTCTACGATGCTCAGAATCAGATAAAAACGTAAATTATTCCAATGTATAAACTTAAAACATTTCCCTTTTTAAACATAAATGGAGCCAAACTCAGAGTGGCAGGAAAAGAAAAATCAATGACTGCCATTAACTTTGCATTTTACAGCTGTGCCACAGTTTAACTGGCACATTTGGTCATGAAGATTTACCAAGCTGCTACAGAAACGCCGTGAGTCGTGGATGCACGCCTGAGCAGCAGACGGACTCTTCCTTGCTCTGCAGCGCTGCATGTGCAGATCTTGCACTGCTGATGCTTTGCTGCGGTTTCTAGTTTCACGCGCTTGATCTGCCGCTGCAGCTCTGAACAGTCTAAAACAAAAGGGCCTAGTTAAAGAAGCCCAGTGGCAGCATCAGCAGACCTCCGACTTCATTAAAAACAAGAAAGAAAAAAGTTTATTTCAGAGACTCACCAGTTTCCTCCTGTGTTTTTGCTTTCTATAAATGCTTTTGCTGTGGTTGTTTTTGCATTTAAAGCTACTGGTCAGATTTGTTTTTCTTTAACATCAACTTTAAATGAAGCTGAGCATGTCAGCTTGTCTGTTTTGTTGTAAATTTGCATTTGATCCATTAAAGAACACACCTTTCCACAAACAAACTTCCACACTTGCATGCATCTGATGAGTATTTTTCTTATTTTTAGCCCTTTTATTTGCATGTTTTTAATGACGTGTATGTTTTTCTTTTGCACCTGTGCAGCTGGAGCAAAACGTGGATCAGATTTGTTTGCACAATCAGCAGAAATTGTTTGGAAATAAATTTTGAGCCTTGACACACAAGGACCTGCAACCAGTCAGCACCAGAAGAAAAAAGAAATCCTATAGCTCATTCATCGCAGAGACAGATAATGTTCGGTTTAGCTGAAGTAGTACGAGTTCAACTATTTAAGGTGATACAAGCAGATTAAAGCGTTAATATACTTTTGAAATTACTTAATAAGCACACAAAAACAATTAGATGGAGAGAAAAGGTAAAAAAAAAAGAAAGTTAAATTCTGTTGCAACTCAGATTCTTCTGAATCTGCGTTCAGTCACTCATCCCTCACATTATTCACCAAATCCAGTCAATCAGCTTGATTCTTGTGCCTCTTGTGACGTCATCGACTCAAATGAAGGCAAAGCATTTTTCATAAAATAAGCAAACAAACAAAAGCACTTTGCATTTAGAGAAACGCTGCACAGTTCATCATTTCCCAGCTGCTTGCATCGCCACTAAAATAATAAAAACAAATAAATAAAATCGTCTTTAAACAACCCAACATCACCGTGTTGGACTCAGACCTACAGCCTGGAGCTGATCCATGCATGATTAATGCTGATTAATGCTGACCAACCAGCCGATCAGCGAGTAACAACACCTACAGCAGCATGCAACAACAGTTTTAAAAAAAGAAAAAGAAAGAGTTGGGCTGCGTGAAGCGGCCTCTTAACGGCAGGAAGTCAGAGAAAGTGGCAGAAGTTTGAAGGAGGATGTTAACAAAAGCCACGTCAGATCAGAAAAAAAAGCACAAAAACCTCCGAGTTAGACTGACTTTAGACGCAACTGCAGCGTGAAAACAGCTTCAAATCCCAGTTTAAATGAAGCATTTCCACCGCACAGTGGTTAATACGGGCATGTTGGAGGAACTGATGCGCGCGTGTTGGTACATTTGTAGCTTTCTGAGGACTTACCTCACCTGTTAGCAGGTAAAACCGAGTGTTTTGAGGTCGTGTCAGCTATTCCTCGGGGTCCTGGTTCATTGGAGAACAGCCTATAAAGTCCTTCTCACAAACAACACTTCAGCTTTCTGGAGAGGAAGGAGTGAAATACCGCTGAAGGTTCAGCAGCCCGGGGTGAAACTGAACGGGATGGTCGATGGTGCGACTCCTGTCAACATTATTTTCCCCAAATAAAAGGTTTTCTGCAGCTCTCCGCTGTCCCCGGTTCTCCTGCTTCACAACGACAGAGCAATAAATAAATAAAAAGTCAAACTGCGCAGGCAGTGGCTCGGTACAAGAGAGGCAGACTAAATTTAGTGCACTTTCAGGCGGTCCTGCTCATTTTCCTCGTCACAAACATTCAAGTTTTTTGCCCCACCTTGGTTTTACTGCGCACATGCGCACTGTGGCGGTCCTGCTAAAAATAAGACCCAAACGGAGCGAGGAAGTTGGAGGAACTTGATCATCAATGAGGCAATGTTTACAACATAACAGTCCAGACATGCAAAACAGTGAGTGGTTATCGGTTTTTATTGGTTCGGTCAGCTTGACACGACACAGTTTCTGCACAACGCGATCAGCGACAATGAAGTTTTCATTTCACAGCAGCCTCCTGTGCAGTCAACGCAAACCAGCCACCACTGCCATTTTTAATGCGGTTCTTCTGAACAGAGAAACTAAAACTCAGTTCCCATTTCTCTGTGGAACAAAAAAAAAAAAAAAAAAGCCTATCAGTGATCATCACCCAAAAGCTGCAGGCTTTTAAAAGAGGAAGTGTGGAAATGTTTTCTTTTATCACCTCCTGCTGGTCAATAAACAAACGTCACATTCAGCAACGCTGGCTTCACTTTCCAAGCCAGGCTTGTCTCAACAGATGTGAAATAATTACACATCAGGCAAGAGGAATGTTGGAGAAAAAGAGAACTATTGTGCACGGCTGTAACATCAGTCCTGTGAAAGCTGCTTCTTCGATGTTGGAAATTTGACCTTCAAATAAAAAAAAATAAATAAAGTAATAGAATCAGTAATCTCAACTTTACCCAAATCTTAAAAAAACCTGATTGTGAGAGCGTTAAACGATGCTAACAAGGTAGTAACTTTATTTCTGGACTCATTAAAAATGAAAATGAATCATAAATAATAATAAAAAAAGAAGAATCAGTTTTCATTGTCAAGCGTACATGGAACGATGCGTCACCCTCAGAAGATGACAACAGCAGCTCTTGTTCACAGTTTCATGGTGTTTTTTTCTAAATATTTTCTGATATACATCATTTACCATTTTTATTTTTGTTTTTGGGAATTGATGTTATTGAGTCACAAAAGCTACTCTGTACAGGACATCACAGCTCAGAGCAGAAATAATCGTAACCAAATAAAAATGTGCATTTTCCTGCTAACCCATTTTCTATGAATCACAAAAATTTACTTTGTTGTGTTTAAGACCCTGCTCTTCCTGGAACTTATTTTCTGCAGAAACTTTCAAACACGCTGTTTTAATCTCTTTTCCAAACATGGGTTGACAAAGTATTTCTCCCCACTTGATCAGCAGGTCTTTTTTGTGCTGCTCCACTTGACCAGAACCTAAATCTCACGACTGTTTATCAACCGGACAGCCGGCCCAATCACAGGAATCAGTACAAAAATACAAAATCACCTCGGCTCGTATTTGAGCGTCGAATATGCCAAATTAGGTTTTTATAAACCGAGAACCCGATTCTAACACTGGTGCATGCAGAGTGGGGTATAAAACAGTAACTTCAATTGGATTCTGTTCTCTTAGCTAACCAGCTCAAAACGCTACTGGAGTTACATCTTCAAACTCCCTGCTTTCATGGCTCAAAAGCATTCAGTGCGTTTTCTATCTGTGCCGTCAAAAGGTATGAAAAGGAAAGAACATAAAGCAGCACATCAAAAGACAAAGGAGCCTCCCTGCAGAGACTCCCTGCTGCAGATTCACGTTGTGTAAACCTGAAAACACAAACTGAACACCGAAACTCAAACCTTTGGAGCCAGTGAAAATTAAGTGTATTACACGATGGAGTTACACCAAACTGTTCAAAGTGTTACAATCCCGTAGCTTGATCACCAAGATGGCTAATAAAGACTTGAAAGCTTCCACATCTGTGAAAAAAAACAAAAAGTCTGCAACAGTGGTCCTTCACCGTGAGGAAACATTTCAAACGACGACTTGCGAGATGAAACTCATGGAATATAAGGCGCCAAAACCTAAATGGTCAAGGAAGGTGAACGGTTTAATCAATCAGTCTCGTTAAGCGGAGTGTAGGGGGATGACAAATTTGCAACCGAACGGAGAGTGGTACTTGATTCCCACTTCCTGGAACACCTGCCGAGGAACACCGATGTCGCACAGGTAAACTCTGCCGGCGGCTTCGGCCAGAGGAAGGGGCAGGCAGAGCGACAGCGACCACTTGGCCTCGACTGCATGGCCCTGTCCGCTTACAGGGGGGTCCAGGCTGAGCACCGGCGCTCTGTTCTGGTTGGCCCAGTCCGCAGCCGCCCGGTACCAAGGCTGGTCCATCAGGAATGTGTTCTCGTGGCAGTCCAGACAGTTTATGATTAGATCCACCGGGGTGTCCGGGAGATCTAAAGGGACAAAAACAACAAGCGTGACCCACTGATGATCATTTCATTAAAAAAATAAAATAACAAATTCACACAGCAAGGAAAAACACATACACCAAGAACCCGGTTTATGTGGGCCTGCTTGGAAGATAAATTGTCCCAGAAGTTATTGCGATAAACAACAGTATTGTAATTTTGAGGTCATTTTTAGGTGAAATAACAATAACGGCATAATAATGCAAGAACACATTCTTAAAGATCAATAAACTTCAAACTCTGATGAACATTTAACACTGGAACTGGAAGACATCTTTAAATATCCAAAACAAAACAGAAACGACAAATAAAATTTATCATAAACTCTTTATCAACAAAATATGGTGCTAAATCAGATTGTTTTTCAAATCGTCTCCACTATGAACCGTCATGTCGAATTTTATCTGACTTTCACACTGCAAAAGTCTTACCAAGTATTTTTGTCTAGTTTCTACTGCAAATATCTTAAACTTGAAATCAGACAAAACTAACTTACAAGTAACTTATCAGCAAGAAGTAGGATGTTTTTAAGTCAGTAATTCCTGAATACTGATGAAAAAGTGCCAGTTCTTCTGGGAGATTATTTAACTTCTACAAAGACATTTTTCCCATGTCTGGCATATTAGAAGTGAAATGACTCTTAGCTGTTGCTATTGCACTACGATGCAAACATGCAACTGCTGTTTTGTTCAGTTTCTGTCAATGTGTGTCTGTCCCTTCCCAATTGAACTTAAATGTATAAATAAATAAAATCAAAATTGGAATTGAGCACCACCAGCCAGGCTCACCTTTGATGCTGGACACCTGTTTGCCGCCGGTCTTGTTGAAAAGCGTCAGCTCGCTTGTCACGGCGTCGAGCATCTTGACGAAGTTGGGCAGAAACAGTATGACCTCGACTTCGTGGTTGGCCAGGTGGCGGCCGCAGCTGATGCCCTGCGCTCCCTGAACATGAGGCCCACACAGCAGCGCCACCGTGGGCCGCTGATGGAGGTTTTTGGGTGTAAATCTGAAATATTTTCCAGACATTTGAGTGAAAAACAATTTAATCATTTGAGTTTTATCCATTAATTGTGACACCATTATTGACGTCTTATTCAGCAGACAGATAAAATCCAATAGATTACATATTAGCAAATAATACCACCAATTTTATAAATTTATAGCAGATTTGTCAAATGTAGACTGAATTATTCTACACTAAACATTCTGTTTATACATTTTACACGTTTATTGTTTGTAAAAGTTTAAAAGTTAAAGAGTTTTGGTGCTTTGTTTGATGCCTTAAAACAAGTTTTAAAACCACCAACAGTTTAAGACATGAAAGATTTAAATAAAAAAAAGCACTGAAACTCCCTTTTTATATGTTTTTGATACATTCATCTTTATAATGATGTTCTTCATAATTCAGAGTTAAGGCTGAACTTTTAGGTCAGTATTCATACCTGTTGGGCCCTCCTAACAACGTGAGTGTCATCTGGCTGGCACACACTCCAGTCATCTCCAGTCTCCGCTCCAGCGTCAGGCCGTGGCGCTCGGCAGCAGACAACAGACGCTTGTGGAGCTCATAAGAAATACTCGGAACAACAAGTCCAGAGTCTGTATGAGGTAAAGTAAAGAAGCAGGTTTAAACAACTCTACTGAACACTGTCATTCAATCGCTGCGACGTGAAACACGTACCAGTGCAATACTCTTTGTGCTCAGGCTGTGGTACAATAATCTGTCTATAAACAATCGGTTTGGCCTCCAGGATGTTCTCGTCGTGGCGGTACCGTGTGGGCGTCTGATCCTGAGGCGTGCCACGTGACCTCGCGCCGTTACGTCGCTCTGTCGTGTCAATCTCTGAGAAAACTGCAGCTTTGTCGAACAGTGCCAGGTTTCCTTCAAAATCAAAATCCGTATCCAGCCCGTTATCCATGCCGTCGCCGAAGCACTCGTCGTCTCTGTTTTTCATCTGCCCGTTTTTCACTCCATTCTTTTTCGGCGTCGCTTGATTTGCCCCTCGACTGGTGGACGACCCTGACAGTATCGGGAAAAAAGCAGCTATTAGTGTCTGCAGTTCATAGGAAAGTCTTAACTGCAATCAAATGAATCACACCTACAGGAGTTATGTCTTCGACGAAAGCCTTTCGGTTGACCCTGTGCATCCAGGTGACGTTCTCCATAACTTTTAGAGCACTGCTGTGGAGAGTTCAGCTTCTCCACAGATCTGGGATCCCCCTTTGGAACGGCAACTGGGACAGTGTTTCCCTTTGCAGCCGCACTGGAAGCTGTCCTGGCATGAAAGTTTCTGATGTCCAAAATTTTTAGTTCCTGTATATCAATGGCACTGGAAGAAAAAACAAAAACAAAAACACAAGAGAGATCTTCAGTAACAACCAAAATGGATCAGATTTTACCACTTATAAGAACCCAATAGCATACGTAATTCTTCTTCACTTCTAAAATTGTCACAATTAATTGCACGATAAACTAAAGTGAGCTCGATGATTTTCATTCTGATGATTAATATTTTTGAAGGCTAATTTTGTTTACAGAGACTTTATAATCTTATTTTTGGTTTCACTTGTTTGTTTTTTTTATTTCCTTTTCATTTGTTGAGCTTTCTTTTGGGTATTTAAAATGTCTTCCGGTTCCAATGCAGAGTTCACTATAAAACTTTAACTTGATAAGGCCATTATCAATTTATCATTTGAAAATGGTCTCAAAAAACAGTTATCGTTTATCGCAATAATTCCTGAGGTGATTTATCGTCCAGCAAAGTTTATTATTGTGAGAGGCCTGCTCACTTCTAGAATCCAGTTTTTTGAGTTTGTATCACATTACTTGAAATGAAAATGCCAGAACACGAGAGGAAATGCTTAAATACAAAGACAGGTTAGCAGCAAAACAACAACAACACCATTTCTATTTAGATGTCGTGTCCCATTATTGTGTTTTTTTAATGAAGGGAGACCCATAAAACAGATCAATTTAAGTAGAGGTTTACCTGAATGTGACCTCGGGAACGGGACATTTGACCCCATTGTGGAAAGGTTGTCGTAAGGAGATGGTCTGACTGGACTGGTCCACAGATGACACTTCTCCTTGATAAACTCCCAGCGTTGGTCCACAATTAAGAGACACCAAACTACCCAACCAGTCCGAGGCCATTATCTGCAATAAATACTCTATTTCAAATGAAGACGAACAGCTAAAAAAGTCACACCAATAACCAGCGACTCATAAGTCGGAGCAAGTAAGCATTCAGGCAAAACAACAAAATATTCACAGTTTGGAGCTAACGTTTGAAATCGCACTTAGCAATAGCTTCGGCCTTGTATCAAGCTAAGTTGCTATCTAAAACTCGTTTCAGTTGAAAAACGCTTTAAATAAAGACAAAGTTTTATACCTTTCCGATGTTAAATCGACGTGGACTCCTTTGGACAGCTCAAGGCAATGCAATTTTCAAACAACGGCTACGAGGATAGCTCTTTGAGATTAGCCTCTTAGCTTTTAAACGGCTACTGACACCAGCTTCCTGTTTCCGGGGAACCTCGCTTTTCAAAATAAAACACGTGAGCGCTCTTTCCCCATGACAACAAAATAACTTCAAGCAGGTTAATTTGTTCATTTGTTCATTTATTTTGTAATATGTGTGTTGATTTACCTGGATGGGTTCGAGCAATGAATAATTAAATTGATTATATTTAACACTTTTGACTTTAAACTGAACATTCATTTATCAAAGAATACTCCACTCGATGTGTGTTGTTAATTGCTTGGAGATGTTTTCAAAATTTTGCCAATTTCTCTTTCAAAATTACTTACAATCAGTCAAAAACAATATTAATATTCTGAAAATATACATTTTCACAGATTATAAGAAACTTCCCACTGGATTTCCGTTGAGATTTTGACTGAAATTTGGTTTATTAAGTGAAAACAAACGAATTATGACCAATAATAACAAACAAACAAAAACTTTTTATACATAATTGTGGGTTTAATTAAAAAATATGTTTAAATGATGTGTAAAGAAGACTTTTATTTTCCCCATAAAAATACGTTCACTGTGACTCAAGCCTCAAATGCATTCCCTAATTTATTGAATATAACTATGTCACTTTTGTTTTGGTTTTGGCTTGTTTATGTTTGTTTCATAAACAAGCAAATACTTATAAAGTATTTGTCAAATACAAATTGGCTCAATGAACCATATGTTCTAATAAAAAAGCAGTACTTCTGTGTTCTAGCCTGACTTACTTATCCAAGAAACAACTTTGGATTTAGACACAAGGATGCAACATTTCACACTAAGCTGAAGAAAATCAGAATCCTTAGAGACAGTTTATCACAAACCTGAACATTAAATAATAAAGCCTTAAAAGAACAAAAGAGAAAGAAACTGTTTTCTTTCTTGTTTTAATAAGAAGAAAGCTGATGGTGGTATTTTAGAAATGTCAGTAAACAACTGACTGAGGTTAAATGAGATCATGTGGAGAATATCTAGGGAGTGGGGAGCATCACTGTGTCATCCAGCTGCTATTTATGAACTGAGGTCATCATGGATCCTCCAGCGACGGCTTTACAGAGAATCTCAAAGCTGTGCAAGGAAAACAAATGAAGCAGGTTGACTGGAAGTGAACAGGAAAGAATTTCTGAAGTAAAATCCCATTAGAGCAGAGTGTCCAAACATTTTGTGATCACAAAAAGGGCCAAAAAGACAAAGACAAATGAAATAAAGCAAATAAAGTAATCCAATTTTATTTTATCCAAAATGGATGTTATTCATTCTAGATCCAAACCTTAGAAGATATTTTGCACGTTTGCTTTGTTGAAAGAAAAGCATCTAGCTTTCAGTCGATTTAACACATTTGTTTTCAGCAATAAGAGTAAGATTTGGGTCACTTTCTTTCGAAAAGATTGCTGTATTTAGGTCGAGTTTAATTAAAAATAATAACAAAAGCTGATTCATGTGCAGCAAAATAAAAGTCAGAATAAGCATGATTCTACTTATCATAAGAGCTTGCTCACAAAAAGACAAATATGACTTTATGTTGTAATTAAGACTTTCCATTGTAAGAAAATTATATCAGTAATAATTTCACTCTGATTATAAGTAAAAACACTTTCTGCATTAACCACTTGTGCTTGATGGTGCAAATTTGTGTTACTTTTGAACTGCGGTTGTCGGATGCAAAAATTTATCCAGAGCCACATTTTAGACAACCGTACATTAGAGAAATTGTTCTCTTAGTTTAGACTGTTTTTCAGAAATCAGCTTTCTGAAAGACATACATAGAATGTATAATTAAAAACGTGTCATGACAGAAGGGTTTATGGATGAGTCCAGTAGCGGTGAAGATGTGTTTCCTGTCATGTAAACAGTGGGAATATCAGCAGACATGATCCAATAATAGACACCCACCTCCAGATAACAGCTTTGTGTGAAAGTTTGTCCTCTATGCAGCCTGCTGAGCCATTTCTTCCTGACAGAAACGACTGACAACCTAAACCTCGGAGGACGCTGCAGGACGTATCGTCCATAATTCCAACATTAGTTTATTTTTCACTCGTGGACCTGGACATGTGGAACTCCAGATCTGACTTTACGGCCCGGGTAAGATCTAAATGTAAATGTTCTTCATTTCACAAAAAACAAACAAACAAAGAAAAGAAATATTTAAAAAAATGTTTTTTCTTTTTAGTCTTCCTCATGGTGTGGGTCAGGCTTTACGTCAAGAGCCAGCTCTGGGTAACTGGACCGTCCTCATGGTTTTAAAGTGATAACAGCACCCTCCTCATGCACACCTGGTTATCTTTTACAGTCACACAATCTAACAATGAAACCTTTACAAAAAGATCATTTCACTTGTATCATGTCATTTTTCTCATAAGAGAAATAATCTACTAATGGAACTAGCACTAAGGAATTATTCATTTAAAACAAGCTCCAACAAAAAAGTCACATGTAAATTAGTTTTGTCTCATTTCAACTGTAGTAAAATATTTGCACGAGAAACCAGACCGAAATACTTGGTAAGATTTTGTGTTTTTGCAGTGCAGCTGTGATTTTTAAGTAAGTTGGGCAGCTTTGGATGAGTTCTGTGTTTTTGCTCACGTTGCAGTGCTGGTGCCTTCAGAAGGAGCGATCCGGGTCTAAGGAGGTGGCGGTCAATGTACCACCTGGAGCCTGAGAGTCCTACAAAGTCATTTTCACCATTTGGAGCAGAAATATGGGCTGGTGGAGGCGAAAGGAGCTTCAGACAAGCAGAAGTCTTGCCGTGGCTCCAGGATGCTCATGAGCGGCTGAACGCTAAACTGGACCGGCTGAGGACCAGAGAAGTTACTCTGGGCTACAACAAAACGATGGCACAGATGCTCAACATGGAACAGAAGGTGCAATACAAGATAAAATTAATACATTTTAATTATTTCTTTTTATTTGTGTGAGTTAGTCAATATTAACATGCACTCCTGCGTCACACAGCTGCTCTCTAAAACGATGGATGCTTTCAGTCAGGAGGAATTGTTTGAACAGAGTCAACAGTGTCAAGATCTCCAAGAAAAGTAGGTGTGGCAAAAAAAGTAAATAAAAACTAAACCTGCCATGTGTAACTTCTACAAAAATCAGTTTTTTACATATTTTATCAAACTGTCACCATGTTGTGACAATTAGATAGATTAAAAAAAAAAAAAGTCTCCCTACTATTAATGTCTGCACTGCTTCAGTTCCAAAACAACCAATCAGATCCAGGAGGCGGGCCTTCGCGCTGTCAATCAACCCTTTCTTGAATGCAATGGTGGAAAAACAACTTACCATTCCAGGAAAACTCTATCGGTGTCCATGTTAACTAACATGAACATTCATGACACGCTGCATTATCTGGACAGCGATGTAGCTTAGCAGCATGTACATGAGAATGATTTACAGCTGGCTCTGATTGGTTATTCTTGACCTGGAGCTGTGTATTTGTGCAGGAATGCAGAGAACATATCACAACATAGTGACAGTTTTAACAAAATGTAAAAAAAAAACAAACAGTTTTTAAAATAAAAGTTATGCACTGCAGTGTTAAAGACAATGAATAAAAATCTTTTTAAGAGTCCTAAAGCTGGAAAATGAGCTGCTGCACATGAGGTCTTCTCTGGCAAATGTAAGCGAGGATCAGCCGACGTCTCGTCTGGCAGCTTCACACAACAAATCAAAGACTCCAGGAGACGTAAAGAAACAGGCGTCTGACCTTTGAAAATGTCTGTTTCTGCTTTTTTCTACGTGTAAATTCTGGTTTGAATGCAGGAGAAGGAGAATCCGACAGAGGAGGACAAGCTGAGGGAGGCTCTGAGAGAAGCTGAGGCAAGAGCCGCAACTCTTCAAGAAGAACGAAACAAAGCACTCCAGGATCTCCAGACTTCTGCTGAGGTAAATCCAACAAATAAATCCTGAAAACAATCCTACACAGAACATGTGTCAAAATTAAGGCCCGTGGACCAAATCTGGCCCGCCACACCTTTTTATGTGGTCCTTTAGATTCTAGACTAAACACTACGTGAGCTTAAATATTATGTTTTCAATCAAATCAATGCAGTTCTTACCGCTTACTGCCGAATTATATCAATGAGTCCCTCCAGTTTCTTGAGAATTATTGTGGAAATTTATGCAAAATCATCAAATCTCCACACTTTTATATGCTAATAATTTGGAGTTTATTGCAGCTTCCTCTCAAAAATTTTCAAGAACCTTCTTTGTTGCAGTAAACAGCTGCCTCAGCCTTAGGTAATGCAGATTATAGTTTATGATCTACATAGCGAGTTATAAAAAGTTGCATTTGCCGTCATAAATAAGTATAAATATTTCCAAATTAGTATCAGAAATACTTTGATTTTTATTGCAAAATCACAAAAAGTATCACAAAATCCTGGAGGGACTGAAAAGATGTTCAGTAATACTATTTAATTTTAAGGATACATTGATATTTAAACAGTTTGCTCATGTTGTGTCTTTGGAGCAGGTAAATGAACAACTGAGACAAGAACTGGAGGTGATGAAGAAACATCTGGCTGAGTCACAACATCAGCTGCAGGAGCTGAACGAGGAGGAAAACATCAAATTAAGACAAATCACAGATCAGATCAGAGAAAAGGAGAATCTGCTGACTGAAAGAAACCCGGGAGGACATGATGCATTAAATGAATCAACAGGAAACAACAGCCAGCGCAGGTGAGGTGGGAAACAGGGGAACTCGCTCGTAACTGAAGATCAAATTTACATATCAACTCTGCAAGTTAACACAGTTATTACAAAACTATATATTTCACAGAACATCCACAGAAGATTTGGACCTACAAAATCAGAAACTGCAGTATCAGTGTGTCTGTTTGGAAGAAAAGCTCAAAGACACGGAAAAGGCGCTGCAAATGCACGAGAAAACACATCAAAAAAAGGATGAAATGAGACTTCTGCGCATTAAAGATCTGGAAGATCTGGCCTCACACTGGACAGAAAAATGGCAAAATGTTGCTTTGAAGCTTCAGTCCACACAAGATGAGTTAGAAGAACTGAAGAGAAACTGCACCATTGATACAGTAAGGAAGCAATACATTTAAAACTCTTTAATATGTTTTGGTACGTTTCATTCATGGTTTCAACTATTTCAAATTGCTCAGATGTGTCCATAAAGTTCAAGTTTCCTAACTAAATGTCATATGTTTTCACATTCTGCAATAGAAATATTTTCATGGAGAACTTGAGCTAATCTTAATTTGTCAGGACACAAAACTAAAAATTTGACATCACATGTAGCATCCAGTCATTATTGAGAAAACGGCTGCAAACAGATGTGGAAGTTTACAGTTATATATTTTTGAAAAGCATTGGTCGAGCCTCCAGCACAACCAACAAGAATGCAGCAATTGGTTTCTGGAGGGTAAGTCAACAACAAAACAGCACACACTGCAAAAACACTAAATCTTATCAAGTGTTTTTGGTCTAGTGTCTAGTGCAAATATCTTAGTGAACTTGAAATAAGAAACTAACTTTTTTGTCCTTAATATTGACAAAAAAGTGCTTGTTCCATTAGCAGATTATGTCACTTATAACAAGACATTTTTCTCTTGTTATAAGTTAATTTACCTGCCGATGGTTATCACACAATTAATTTCTCAATATTCAGAAATTATTTACTTAAAACAAACTTCTATGTCTTCCCAAAACGTTACTTGTAAATTAGTTTCTTATTTCAAGTTTTCTAATAGATTTGCAATAGAAACGATCCAAAATACTTGGTAAGATTTTGTGTTTTTGCAAACAGCAGGAAAACAAGCTGACCAAATGTGCTGGAGCGCTGCTCGGGTTGCTAGGTGACAGGCAGGACTGGGGTTGCTAGGTAATGACGCATTGTGAGTCAATAATCAGGTGGGGTTTTTGTTTTGTTATCTGCTAGCTAATTGTCCCAGACACATGCTAAAAAACATCTGGGTGGATTTTTTAAAAAACACTTGTGTTGTTTTCAGAAACGAATGAGACCCATAGAAAAGTGTTAAAATGAGCAAAAAGTTAATTTTGCATCATAAATTCCCTTTAAAAAAGCAATAAAAAGGTGTTTAAATTATGTAACTTATGTTACTGCAGTAGGAATAGTAACAGGATTTCTTTGAAAGTCTTACTGAAATGGGAACAAAATAGAATTGGTTCCCCGATATCTTTTTTTAAAATTTTCACTGAACAGATATTCAGTCACCTTAACCAGAACAAAATGTTTAGACGCATCTCCTTTCAATACAATCCTCTTCAATCTCTTCTGCTAGCAATTTAAGATAAAAGGAGACCAAAATATCTCTTCCACCTCTTCTTCTTAATGGCAATTAAGAGTTTGTTGCACTGCTGACTTCTATTTCTGTGAACTAAAACTATGGCAGTAAAACAAAAAATATACATAACTGTCGCTTTTAATCTTCCAGAGAGAATCTGAGTCTTTACTGAGGTGTGAACAGGAAACAGGTAAAGGTGCATTTTGTTGTTCTATAATAAGAGTAAATATTTTCAATGAAGCTGCAATTAACCATCTTCATTAACTTCAACAAACCCAAGACAAAAAGGTTTGTATTCTTTGAACACAAGGGGGCAGTAAAGCGCACTGAGCTTCTGTTTGCAGGTAGTGATTTGGTGCAGACCCTTCACAAAGACACACAGACAGAGTGAGTGGATTTTAATCAGATACTCAGAATACAACCTCTGTGATTTGACCTTTCATTGTTCCTCAGCCTATCAGAATCCTCTGTAACACCAGACTCCACATGCAGCAGAAATAAATCTCCTCAGGTAACAAGATGTTCCTCTCACAAACTCACATTTAATGTTAAAGTGTAAAGAAATGTCACCTGAGCATACATAATCCTCAGCTTTGGACGCAAAGCGGCGAGATTCAGAGGCTGAAGCAAAAACTTTCAGAAACAGAAAGAGAAGTGAGCGACAGGTGAGACTAGTGTCAGAAAAACAATCAAAAAATGTTCCTAAAATGATTTTGTTTTGTTTTTTCTGTGTTAGAGAGCATGATTTGAGAACTATGGAACGGCTGCGAGAGATGGAAAGAGCAGAGGCTCAAATTAGGCTTTCTGCTCTTGAACTCAAGGTACAAAAACCAACTCCTGGTTTTAACCACAGGGAATTTGCTTCAAGTTAAAAAGTTGGACTGTCTTTTTTCTATTTTCTGTTGTGAAAGCTCATGAAAAAGGCATCTGAAGTTTGCCAAAACGGTGGAGGAGTTCACGCAGATGTGTCAAACCCTGCCTCAATGCACGAGCAACAGGACGGTAGCAGCTTTTGCTTTTAAGACGACGTGCATGTAAAGAATAGTAATGATAGTAATAGAGGGATTTCCCCAGCAGGGACTTAAAGCTAACGCCTTGTGTGTGATTTCAGAGTCGGATGAGACGCAGCAGCTGAATCCTCCAACCCTCCACAAACATCCAGACCAGAGGCAGAGGTTTTCCCACAGTGGGGTGAATAATTTACTGATCATTACAGTTTTTTCTCTGACAAACAAAATAACTCTGCAGATTTTATAAGGACCCGTCACAATAAGAAATTTTGCTCATTGATAAATTGTCCCAAAAACAAAAACATTGTTGTTTTGATACTATTTTCAGCTAATAAAATAATAACAGCATAGTGATAATACTAATAAACTTTAATTTTGTACAGAACGCTCCACACCGGAACTGGCAGACATTTTAAATTTCCAAAATAAAACACAACAGCCAAAAAATACTAAATAAGAAGGAAACAAAAACCACAAACAACTGAAGCTGTAAATTAAATGGATTACGACATCTCTAAACAGAACTGGTCTTGGTAAAAAAAATCTTAATTATCAGAATGGAAATTAATGATCTTATTTTAATTTATCATACAATTAATTGCTCAAATAAAATTTGTTGCTCAAATCAATCAGTTTATCATGTAGAGATAAACTTAACAAGAACCCTTTTCTCCATGTGCAAAATGACAAGTATCCTTTGTACAGGGTGAAAATGAGACTTTGTGGATTGAAGACAAGAAGAATAAAACCATCTGCCTTGTTGACCAAGAGGTGGCGCAGCAGAGAAGAATGGTCACTGAGCAGGTAGACCAAGACCATTTTCATGTCTGTCTGTCCACTTTACATCCGGACATAAGAAACATTTTTCTAGTGATGCATTTAAAACAAAGGTGATCTAATATGCTTCATTGAACAGATTAGAATAGTTCGATGTGCGATCAAAAACATGTTCATCACATCTTTTGCACAAAATCATCCTGAGATATTGAAGTTTTAGTCTGGTCAGTTCTGTCTACTTTGATCTGTTTTAGGGCCTCCTGTCACTTTAAATTTAAATAATCGTTGCTGGCCACGCCCCCTGACTCAACTTTTACACTTTGGGTTGCTAGGTAACGAGCGGAATTCCACTGGGTTGCTAGGTAACGGGCGGAATTCCACTGGGTTGCTAGGTAACGGGTGGAATTCCACTGGGTTGCTAGGTAACGGGCAGGGAAAGTAGCAACACTTTTAATTCACAATCTAGTCAAAAACCTTGTTGGATTTTTTTTTCTGTCCACAAAATTTGGTTTTCATGGTTCACACAGCCTAGATCTGGCCACCTAAAAGTAAATGAGCTGCCAATTTTTAACCGATCGATCATATATTCAGATTTTTAGGGAATACCATCAGATAAAGATGCTTGATATGTCAAATAAGTAATGCATTTATTTATAATGACTTTTACATCTCGTCGATTGTAGTTAAAGAGCTTGTTTAAAGAGCAAGAAGGAAAGGAGGCGAGATTTGCTGATGCACAATCAGTTGCTCAAAGTGGATCCTCCTCCACTCAGGACTGGACTCCCACATCTCTGGTCATTAGGGTGAGAAGAAAACAGACAGAAAATCCAACTTATTATGGTTAAGATATGTAAACAAGTCCAGCTTTTTGTTTGTTTGCTTTTGCAGGCTGCAGCAGACAGGAGAAGCCGGCAGCCTGGCTCGGCTTTAATGCCGGTGTTGGAGGAGGATGAGGAGAACGGTGACTGGTCAGGAGGGGATCTAAAACAGGAAGCCCACACTGAAGTGAAACCTTCAAACTGCATGTTTAAAAACATATATTTAAGTCCAACTTTCCCTCAACCGTAAAATACGCAATAGTTTTCTGTCTGCATGCTGAAATGTGTGAGTAATCATGGTGCACACATAATCTCGTCCAATAAAGAGAGCGTCCCATTTTATTACCTGCATGTCCACATATGTGCAGATGGAGCTAATACCTGCTGCCTGCATATTGTATTGATATGAGATTGAGAAGAGTGCTGAATGATGAAGAGTTTATTTTACCTAAAAGTCAACATTTTCAACATCTTTCATGTCAACTTTATCAAAACCTCAATGTAGAGAATGCTTGTATATTATGACCTCCCACTCTGTACCAATTTATTTTAGACCTTGAGCCAAAATCAAAAGTGGCATTTCTGTGTCATCATAATACTGAATTTCCTTTAAGTGTAAAATTTTCCAGTGCAGGTTTCACCAATCTAATTAACAAACATTAAAATATCACAGATTCCTTTGAAAACTATTAAACAACCTTTTAGTTTGTCACTAAACTTGATGTGTGGCCATCTTTTTTTAGTGCTAATAATCCTGATTGACTGGACAGTAAAATGGAAAATCAGTTTAGGGTGTAGCTAAAATAAGTTTTGTTGCTCTTATTTAAATTCCCAAATGTTTATGAAGCCCTGAAAAGAAAGGCGCCCTGGGTGGAGAGCCATATGAAAACCCGTTACGGTGTGTTTATAAAGATAAAAGCCTTTCTAAAAATACTTCCAAATAACTTTTGTTATGCTAGGGAAAGAAAGGCAGGAAAAACAGAGTGGATATTTTAGGTTAGCTTAAATACGGCTGAGAATCTTAAACATCAAGACACTGAAAAGCTGCATTTGTGTGAATCACTGCATCTATTGCATCATGAGTACAGATCAGTAATTTGCAATTCATCAGAAATAAACCATGACAATATGATTCACTCAGTTACAACCTAACTCCTGCTTTGGCTGCAACGGATCCTGTAGCAATAAGTTATCAATTAATTTCATGATAAATTAAAATAAGTTCAATAATTTCTATTCTGATTCTTAATATTTTCGAAGGACAAAATTAGTTTGCAGAGACATCATCCATTGTATTTAAAACTTTGGTTGTATTTTTGTTTCTGTTTTTTTATTTCTTGTTTTGGTCTGTTGTGTTTTATTTTGTATATTTCAAATATCTTCCAGCTCCAGTGTGAAGTGATCTCTACAGGTGTATTGATTTTTGAGAAGGAAAATTTGCATTATTATGCCATTATCAATATATGACTTGAAAGTAGTCCTAAAACAGCAATATTTTGTTCATTGCGATAATTATTGACTAGCAAAATTTGCAAATTGTTTGCTCTTAAACAATTTATTTGAGAACTGGAGCTTTTGTTTAAGATTCTCATCTTAATTTCTATTGTTTGATATATTTTGTTCACTTCTTGTCCTTTTTCCGTGACATTTATCACATTTGAATATTAACAGTATTTTTTTTATTTTTTTCTCTTTTTTGTTTAAAAAGTGTTAAAGGTTCACCTCTCTGGCTGCAAACTACAGAAATTGATGGTCTGTGTAGGAAAGGTGAACACCTTCAACCTGATGGAGTATTTCTGGATCAGACTCTCGATGTTTGCAATCAAGATGAAGATGAAGAGGAAAAACTGCAGCTCAGAAAATCTTCAGTATCTGGAAAAAACAAGCAGCATTGAACTCTATAATCAAACTGAATGTTAGCCTACATTTTTTGAAAGCATCGCCCAGCTTTGCGCTTCACCAAATCATATACTCGTTTTCATTTTAAAGACTTTTTATGTAAATGTTCAGTCGATTATCTACTGAGAGCCTTGCAAAAATATTTACACTTTGTGACGTTGAAACTCCGAACATTCAAAGTGTTGAATAAATATGCAGTGGAAGAAAAACATTTTCACAAAATCTAAAAAATCTGGTATTCACTTGCATTAAACCGTCGTGAATAAATTATATCTGGAGCCACTTGAGCACAATGAGTCTTCATGGGTATTTCACTTCCAGCACAGCACAACACATTTTCTGTCTGCTCTTCTGTGCGGAAAAGCTCAAAATGAGTCAGATTTGATGGAGCACATCTGTGAACATTTTCCAAGTCCTGCCACAAATTCCCAAATTGATTTAGGTCTGAACTTTGACTGGGTCGTTCTTACAACATGCTTTGATCTAAACTATTACGTTGTCGCGCTGCCTGCAAATGTTAGTCACGCTTCCAGGTGTCAGTCTTGGGGTATTTTCTTGGCTGGAAAGCTTTCAAGGGTAAACATTGGCCATCAAAAGTTTTGTTTTTTTCTATTTAAGTAGGTTAGATAGACTTTATTTTATATATCTGGTAGCCCATAAAACATCAACACATGACCTACACACATCCAATTTAAAAGTATTGAAATAAAGAAAAAAGATATCAACAAGAAACAAGATCAAGATAGTTCTTGACCTTCTTAACCAGTTTCCCTTCATTTGACGGTGAGAGAACGGCTCAGATGGTTGAAACCTGGACAATCATCCCAGATGTACCATAAATGCTTCTGAAAAACCGTCACTGAGGTTCTGAAATGGACATTTAAATGCTAACTCTATGTCAGAAAACCAATCAATTTAAATTCAGTCCAATATTTCTAATAAGAAAATTGGTCAAATAGACCCAAAGCAGAACCTTATTGATGATGTTTTGCGTATGTTTGAGTATTTGTGTCATTTTCTCCATGTATGAGTTAAAGAAAATATCAAAGTGACGTTAACCTGTATATTCAACTCTTGTCTTTAATCATGCATATGATGGATGCATGTAAGCTTCTCATTGGCACCATATTGTACAACACAAATGTCTATAAAATCCAACTGTTCTGTGCACAGGCTGGACTTCTCTGCAGTAAAGATGTTGCTTTTGCAGTCTGACAAAGATTATCTCGATCAGATTTTGTTCTAGACTGGAGCGTTTTCCTAAGGATTGGAAATGGTGAAGGATTAAACCACAGTGGCATTACAGAAAGGGATGATCCCTGGTTGTATTTAGCTTCTGCAAGACTTTACCTAATCCCCTGAACATGAAACACAAACACTGGGAATTACTTTACTTCTGCCTATGAAAATCAAAAGTAAGTTATTCCCACATGCAGTTAGAGGATTAATGTTTCTAAGTACACTTTTTTCTGTCAAATTAAAGGAACTCCAAGCTGTTGATGTGCGACCATGTCCAGGTTGTCAGAAATGGGGAACACGGTTCTAATGGAGCGGGTCCGAACTGATAGTGAAGCACAATGAGGATCTGCAGTGGACAACTCAGCTCTTCACACCAGAACATCCAATTGACCGTTTGCAGAACTCCACCCACTCCGTCATGACAGGTGTCAAGACAACCAATGATCTGTTTTAAACCCAGTCTAAAAACAGACATCTGGTAGATTAATATCACTTTTATTTAGTTGATTTCACTGTTAGATTTTTGCATGTTCTCCTCTTGTGTTTTTATGGGCTGGTCAGCCAGTATTTAAGTTTCCTCTGTCTCATTTAGGTAGGTTTGTTTGTTTGTTTGAGTTCGTGTTCTTGTCAGTTTGAGTAAAGTTCAGTGATTTGACCTCTTATTGGTTTAATTTTGTTGTTTTCTATATTTACTCCAGTTTGTGTTTTGGGTTAAGTAAAACAACAACTTTTTTTTCCAGACTTAAATCTGTGCCTGACTGTCCGTTTACTGCTCACTCCATCAAAGATACCAGCTGAATTAACAAGTTCAACCAGTTGAGGTGACTCCAAGCATTTAGCATGCTGAAGTGAGTGAATCTTCACTGGTCTCTGGGCAGTGTGAGATTTAGATGCAAGGTACATGTACAGTCTTTTGAAGGAGATTGACATTTATTGTTCATAGGATGGTACAATGGTGGCAATTCCTACCTGAACAATCTTTTCTTACCAATATACATTTGTAGCAATTTGTATTGTTACCAAACTGTTTATCAGTCCATGTAACACAGCAAAAACACAAAAGCTTAAGTCTTAAGTTTCTGGTCTGGTTACTGTACAAATATCTTGATATATTTGAAATAAAAATATTTCGCCTATTACATGTTTTCTTTAGACAAACATGTAATATCTTGTTTTAAGTTCATTTCGTTAAGCAGCAATGTAGCTTTTATAAAAATGTTTTTTTTTTACACATTTGTAAAAAGTACTACTAAGTTGTGACAGCATGATATGAAAAAGATAACCTTTGAAAAGAATTGAGCTCTCTGCTTTCTCCTTATGCAACTGCTGTAATCTAGAAATACACTGTTCCGTCAGAAACAACCAATCAGAGCCAGGAGGAGGGTTTTAGCGCTGTCAATCATCCTTGTCTACTCACAAAGCTAAGATTAGTTAGCATAGCCACTGATGGCACCGGATAAATGGTTTTTCTGTTAAGTTGTTTCTCTGCCATTAGCACATTTAGCAGCACATTTACAATGTTGATTGACAGCGCTAACACCCTCCTCCTGTGTCTGATTGGTTATTTTTGACCGGGAGCTGTGCATTTCTTCAGATGACAAATGTAGCTCTGCAAGAAAGTGAATGAGCTTTTTTTTTTTTTGCACAGATTATCTGTTTCATAGTGTTAGGACAGTCATATATTTTGTAAAGGAAAAAAAAAAGTTACATTCTGTAACATGCAACTTTTATTTATTTGCACAGGAAACTAAACCAAAAATTCTTGGTAAGATGCTGAGTTTTTGCAGTGTGTCAAAGTTAAAGCGCGCTCACAGGTTCATTTTCAATTTTAACGAGTTCTTTCAGAAAGTGCAGCGGATTCTCTGACCTCCAGTCTCTCTCTCCACATCTCACCACCACGCCTCCTAAAGCGACGCTTTCAGTGACAAACAGACTGAGTCGCAGTTCGCAGTTTGCGAGCTCGTCCAGAGAGCTCACCTTCAGAACCAGCACCAGGCTGTTGGACTCGGGGCTGAAGCTGCTCCGAGTCGGACAGGTGCGCAAAGGTGGCAGACTGCAAAGGACGGTCACGTCCTCCAGTCTCTGCGGCCTCCCAGTGAGGTTCAACACGCTGACGGTCAGAGTCTGCTGGTCTGGAGCAAAGGCCGCAGTGAAATGGAATTGTTGCAGGATCCGTAGCTCAGCGCAGCCAGGGGGATTGAATGCGAGTGATTACTGGTCCTGATTAGTTTGCTGCGTTCACTGGACGCTGTGTAATCTCCAGCCACCGTGCAGCGCCTCTGCATGGCCTTGCATGTTCTGCTGAGCGTCCCCAGTTTGGGCAGCGACGGCAGGGAAGCTCGGCTCGGGTGGATGGGTTTGTAAAGCGGAGCTGTTTGCAGCGGTGAGCTGAGGCGACGCAGAGAAAAGCGAGACGCAGTCTGCTCATCTTCATCGCTGTCGGGTTGGGTTCGATCAGCAAATACACGAGGAGAACGTTCACTCTCGGAAAGAGCCGGGCTGGTGAACGTGGACGGATATTCCGGCGTTTCTCCGTCCAACACCAGCCGGGGCCCAGAAACTTCTCTTTGGAGATGCATTTCCAGAGCTGAGGTGTCAGTTTCTGCAGATGTCTGAGTTGAGGTAAATGACTTGGGGATTGTTGTACAGATGTCACTTTTTTTCCAGCACAGAAAACATCCCAGCAGCAGAGACAGACAAAACACGACCAGTCCAACCAGAAGAAGAACCTGAAGATGAACTGCAGGAATAAGACAGACGAGCTTTGTTAGGTTTGGTCCAAAAGCTTTCAGGTCAAAGTAAATCCTCTTCTAGTTCTACACTGGAAAAACACAAAATATAAGAAGTATTTTCAGTCTAACTTCTAGTGCAAATATCCTAATACAGAGACTTTTAGCAAGATTGTTGACAATATTGATGAAAAACTGCCACTTTTTCACCAATATTAAGGAATTTTAGACTTAAAACCAGCTCCTATGGAAGTATCTTGAAAAGTCATTTATAATGTAGATTTTGTCTTATTTTAAGTGCACTAAAAATTTTTTATTTGCACTACAAAAGAAAAATACTTGGTAGGATTTTGTGGTTTTGCAGTGTTGGCCGCCTCTATCACTATGATGCATACAGCAGGAATATTTCAGTAAACTTTGAAATTGGTTTTCCAACATATACACATATTGAGGTTCAATTTTTTTCCATATCCAGACAACAATAATGTGTTGATTCCTTGATTTTAGCCACAAACAAACAGGTAGTGCTGCTTCGAATCTGTGACTGGTCCATATTAAAACCAGGATAACCAGATTTTGTGTATAATCCTTTGCTGAACAGGTGCCTAATGCACTCCCAGAACGGATAATGTTTCTGTGAAAGTGTCCGACCCAGATGAAAAAAACAAAAGAGAACCACAGCTGTCACTTCTGGGAGAAAATACAGCAGAAATAATCCCGATAAACAATAAAAATGTATCTTAAAGCAATATTCAGGTAGTTGTTTGTTTTTTTTAGCCTTATGTAATTTAGATATTCCCATCCTTAAACTTTAAAGCCGTACCTTCCAGGTGTTGGGTGAAGAGGACTTGCACCAGAAGCCAGAAGAAGAGGACCACCATGATCCCTTCGATCATGCCCTTGCAGCAGAAAAGCAGCACAGACTGCCACAGGGGCTGACCCGGGTATTCTTCATCATGGTACGGCATGGCACCAAACCGTTTAGGTCAGAGCCTTTTTAAAAACATCCAAAGGTAAAAGTCCAAAGATCATGTTAAAAAACATCATTTATTAAGTATTTAAAATGACTCCTAATGCTTAAGAGAATCAGTTAAATCCATTGTTTGACGCAACAAAGGCACAAAAATAGAAAAATAAAATTCTGGTTATTTCATCTCCTCCTCAGTAATTTTCCTGAAATGCTTCCACAAACCCCTCCACATGTTCCCCGTCTCCATCACAGGACAGCGCTGCCCTCATTTGTGGAATCACTCGCCTGCGGTGGGTGGGTGGGGATTTCCCAGCTCATAATACCTCCGCTACATCTCTCTGTTCTGCTCCAGATGTCAGCAAGTCATCACTACAGGATAACCATAAACCTCCAGCCTCCACCCACATCCCCGCATCCTGCGGCTCCAACTTCCTGCAGCTCCGCCTGCAGAGCGGAGGAGGACAAAAGACTTGATGCATCACTAAAACTTCCTTTATACTCCCCCTTTCTGGTGCCATGACAATCAGACGAATGGGAATCAAGCATCCATCAAAATTCAGCTTGTGATCATAGTTGGGTAGTAACTAGTTAGTTACGTTTCCTTTTAGGAGTATTTTTACTATGCTGTACTTTTTACTCGAGTAGTTTCATTATAAAGTATCTCTACTCGAGTAAAATTAATTGATTTTCTGCACACTGAATGAAAAACAAACACGTTTTATCCAAAAATTCACCAGACACAGACCTAAAGTTTTCGCTAAAGTTTCATAAGTTTTACCTTAAAAAAAAAAAACATTAGGAAAAAACTATTTTGCCTGATTTTTTTTCTAATATAAATTATTGTAATTTTCATTCTTAAAATGCCAAAATTTCCATTTAGTTTTATATTTTGATGCATCTGGTTATGTTTTTTTTTTAATATTAAATGATTGATAATTTGATCAGTTACTCAGTGCCTGATTAGACTTTTTATCAAATACTTTTAACTCCTGTGGTAATTTCTTGGACAGCTACTTTTTACTTTAACTGGAGTAAAAAATCTGCTGAAATAGTACTGCCTCTTGTTGAGTACAATTATTGGCTGAGGAGTTTTGAGTTTTCTAAAGAAATTTTCATCTTAAATATAAAATGTATTAATAGACCTTGGCTTCCTTTTAGTTTTCAGCAAATGGCTCTTTGAACGATTAATCACTAATTTTACATTTCCTGTCAAAAACTCCCATTTTAAATGTATTTTCTGATTCAGAGGTTAATAAGTGGAGAACTGCTTACCTTAAATACCCTCTTAAGTCCTAAAGCTAAAGAAATTCATTTAAAAATTCTCTAACATTTTTCCATCCAGTGAAATATTAACACGAAGATTCAACATCGATACTAACAGCTGTACTTTTTGTGAGAACGACATTGAAACAACAGATCATCTCTTTTTCTATTGTTTGCAAACTGGAACATTTTGGGGAAACTTTCAGGACTGGATCTCAACAAAACTTTCCTGACATCATCCCTTAAAAAGAGAGGATATAATATTTGGAATCACCCACAGACAGAAGAATCAGCCTCGGTCTCAACAACCTGCTGATCCTCGACAAATTCGTCATGCACTCCTGTAAATGGGGAAATGGAAAACCCGACTTTTCAGCCTTTAAAAACTTTCTAATGGACAACCACATGAGAACCTTAAAGCTGATTAAACCAAGCATGGAATACAACTATAAAGATTAGAATTTATTTGAGAATTAATGCCCCTTTGTCTTTGTCTGCTTGTTTTTGTCGTTCTATTATCCCTCTGTTTGATGTCTGGAAATTTTTTTATTGGTTAGTTAACTCTTGTCTTATAATTATATGTGTGCCTTAAGACTGTAAGACTTGCTTTCTTCACCATGACTTTGGACAATTGTTCAAACTTAATCCCCGTCATCGTCCGCCGTGGTTTGGACATCTGAACGCGACGTTCAGATGTCCAAGTAGTCTGAATCGCATTCAAAGAAATCTGATCCGTGTTGTTCAGACTGCCACGAGAAGATACAAGTCGCAGGACCTGAAATTGGGTCACTTCAGGTTTCAGTGTGAATGTAGCCAAGATTGAATTTAACAGAATAAATACACCAGCTCCAGCTGCTTTCCAAAGGTTTTCCAACACCATGAATCACTGTTTTATTTCTGATGGCTGCCCATCCAAAGAATGAAACTCCAGCACAGAGGTAAATACCAAAGTCACAGCGGCAGCAAAGATATGTTCTTCTTGATTGTCCACATCCAGATTATTTTTAGCTCGCGGCTAAAGGAACATGTTGCATATTTCGAGTAGAATGAGGTAGCAATGTGTCAGTGTTCGCCTGTCCAAAACAGGAGGTCATCAACCATACATTCTCTGCTTTTGTACAAACACTGCAATACATTAGCAGATAAAGAACATGGGAAGACGACTGAGGTAAACGTTGCGTCACTTCAGCATTACAAATAGTTCCCTGCTTAAACACAAGTCTCACTTTCACAGCAAACAGGAAATAAATGTTTAAAACTAAATCTAAATGATTAAATAATAATAATAAAAAAGCAGTAAATCGATCCATCCTCTCTGCACACTTTCTTCTTCTGACAGTTTCTGAGAAAACATTTTCTTCCCTGAAGTCCTTGATGAAAAGCATAAAGCATCAGTCAAGTTAACCTGAATAATTACAAAAGGCATCAGCAAAAACAGCTAAAGACAGATGCTACGACATCAAGCTAAGGCTTTATGGTCTCTGCTAGCTACACATTAGCAACTACATTCAGATTATTATGCAAATAAATTCAAGAACTTATTGGTGTCACTGAAACCCAAGCAGAGTCCATTAAGGATGTTCATTGTGTGTTTTGCAATCTCTGTCACGCTCCTAAAAAAGAAAATACTAACAGCTACAGTCAACTGATATGAATCTATATTTATGTGAATGTTTCAAGTGATATAATCCGGTTTGAGAGACTATCAGAGTGAATGAAAAGTGATTAAGTGAAAAAAAGAGACTTTTTTGTGCGTGACATTATTTTTTTCTGAAGTGCCCACTTTTTAGGTACCAGAGGCATATTAGGTGCATCAGAGACAGATTTTAAAAGCTTTAATTTGGTCCCTTTGAGGAGGTGGAAGACGAAAAGGATGGGCTGTGAGAGGAGGAGAGGGCGCTGAAGCCACTGGTTCCTGCGGGAGTTACGGTCTGTGACGACACGGGAGCGGAGGTCTTCTGGGCTAACAGCGTCCCTGCAGCACAGAGGTAAGACGACACAATCAAGTCTCAATCTGTGCAAACACCACTGTGAAATTAGCCTAAACAGCAGCTTACACTGCCCAGCAGAAGCATTCCCAGCCCTTAAACTGCATTTTTTTACATTTCAACCATAAACATCAACATATTTATTTGGGATAGACAAATAGACAAAAAAAAGTAATAATAATTTTAAGAAAAATGGCACATGCTTAGAGTTAGGGTCAGAAAATCTGCTAAGCTAGTGGACACTAGGGAAGTCCACCATATTTTTGTTAAAACATATTCGATGTTTCAAAAAATTTGGAGGTGCACAGCATCATAATTTGTTTGGCCATCAAGTCGGTGCAGGAAGTTCAATGTGTCAACCATGAATGTACTGCGGAGATATATCCGTTCTGCATGTTGAGTTCTTGATGTAGCTTTGCAACTAGCTAAAAGAAATGGGAGGAAAACACAGAATTATTTATCCTCAACAGTAGATTAATCTGTCTTTCCTGTCACTCTTACTGGTGTTTAAAAAAAAAACTTATTTAAAATAACGCTTAGCCTGGCAGGGGTAAGTACAGCCTGGTGGCCCTCCAGACTAATAATACACTGGGGGAAACTTTTATCAGGTGGCATTTTAGCTTTATCTGTGACATGTGACACAATGTGTTGATGCAACACATTAAAATTATGTGGTTGTAACCAGGGATCCACTTTTTGTCACTTCTGATATCAAAATCTGAGGTTTATTATCGATGGATACGGATCCGATACAGAAAAATAGATCTGATTGACTTAAACACAGACATAAATGAATTACAAATTTATTTGATAACTTTGCACCAGTTCAGCACAATTAAATACAGCAAAACCTTAATCAAACATGTAAAAACAAAACAACTTTAAGTTATTCAGTGAGTGCAATTAGGAGTGTAAAAGTTGATCTAAAATGAACAATACAGAACATGAAACTGACAAACAATAAGTTACTCAAACATGTAAAAACTGCAACAAACCTTCTCTCAAATGGTTCACAAATTCTACAAATAATGTAAAATAAATAACAAAGCATGACGTCACTCAGCACAAAGCATAGAGGATCGGCCACAACGTCACCAACACAATACAGAATTTTTTTCCAATATCAGGACTGACACAGAAATGAATATCTCTAGTTGTTACATGAATTAAAAAACTCACGGTGGACGAATAGTTTTTCATAACTGACCTGAGTAAACTGTCCCGTTGACCTCCACAGACACGCTGATACTAGCTGGTCCCTTGGTAGAGATGCTGAGAGACAAATCCTTTTTCATTTCTGCAACCCAAAGAAGCCAGTTAATAGCAGTCCTACCACATTGTTTTCCAAAACAATTAATCGATTAATCGTGATTTATCGATTAATTGGAATAATCAACTAATTTAGTTCATCGTTAACTGGTGTATACAGACTTAACTAAAGCTCATTTGCTGAAAGAATAGAATATTAGGGTCAGTAATTAAGCCAAAACTGTACAAAAAATATAAACATTTTGTAATTAACAATAAAACCAAAACAAAAAAGCTTATTTTCCTGTAAATATGTTCTTCTCTGAATTTCTCAGGTGGCATTTTAGCTTTATCTGGTACAAATTCTGTCCAGTTATTAATCGGTTACGCGAAGATAATATGAAAAAATGAATTCAATACCACTACTCTGTGTTGATGTGAAGTCAAGCAGAAAGGACACAGTTTTTCATATGTTGATGGTAAAAGTATATTTTTTTAGCTGCAGATGCATCTTTGACACAATGATCAAGTGTTCACTAAAGAAATACTACATTAATACTATGAAAATGTTTATTTTCATATTTAAAAATGAAATCAATACTCATTTGCATTGTCTTATGTATTGCTAATAAAGAATACAAATAAGGAATCTGCAGAAAGTGCCAATTTTTAAAGAAATCTAACTAATTAACAGCACAAACTATTACTAAAATAATCGCCATCTGCAGCCCTAATCGGTTGTGGTGAGGAACCAGCAGCAGAAGTGACACACCATGGCCGTTGTTGAGCTTCAGGCTCACGGGGTTGAAGTGGGACGCCATCGCCAGCAGGTTCTGCTGCAGCGCCTGCTGCATGAGACGCTGCTGCTCCTCTGCAAGCCGCATCATTTTCTTCTCCGGACCGTCGACTGGTCGATCCAGCCTCTCCCTGAGATGCTCTAACGTGGCGGGCTGTGCAAGCTGATGATGTGGATGATTTGGATGATGTGGATGGTTGTGCTGCTGCTGCTGGTGGTGCTGGTGCTGCTGCTGGTGCTGCTGCTGCTGCTGCTGCTGGTGGCCCAGAGCCATCGGCAGCCTGGATATGACTGGTGTTGAGTTCTCATCTGGTCAAAAAATAAAACAAAGAAAAAAGATGGAATTACTCAGGCTAAATCACTCTTTTAGTTTATAAACATCCAGAATTTACATAATGGTTTAAAAGCCTGGCGGGCCACCAGGCTTCACTTGGCCCCCCAACAGGCCAAGCTACCTCTTTTTCTTTCCCATTTTTAGCAACATAATTCAAAAACACAAAATCTTACCAAGTAATTCTGATCTAGTTTTTAATACAAATATTTTACTACACTTGAAATAAGACAAACTAACCTAAAAGTAAATTTTCATCAAGATATAGAGGCTTATTTTAAGTAAATAATTTCTAAATATTGATGAAAAAGTGCTGGTTCTATTGGCAGAAAAATTAACTTGCATCATGGGCAAAAGTCTTGCTATAAGTGAAATAATCTACTAATGGAAAAAAGCTCTTTTTATTAAGTAATTATTTACTTAAAAGAAGCTTCTATATCTTGCTGAAAAGTTACTATTAAGTTAGTCCACTTAAAATAAGACAAACTTAAATAGACTAAGGATTTTGTGTTTTTGCAGTGTTGATTGACATAAATAAGCCAACACAAAAACATATGTCCTCCTCGTTTCACATCAAACCTAATAATTTAACCAGTATCCTGTTCAGTACCTGCTGCCCTACCTGCACTCCGTTTTAAATTTGAGTTGGCAGACAGGCTCATGTTGATGCCGTTGTGAGCGGCCGGGGGAGTGAGCATGGTCGGTGAGGGCAGGAGGGAATGTGGGGCAGAAGACTGGGAAGGAGAGTAGCGGTAGAGGCTGCTGGTGTAGCTGGGACGGCGTCCCTCTCTGCGGTTGCTGTCGATCGCTGCCTGCAGCTCGCCCGGAGAGCTCAGGCCTTTCTTAGCGCACTCAAACGGATACAGGTATTTCATATACCTGCAGGGAGACAAAACGCAAGAAAAGAAAAAATTATTTACAAAAGCATTTCATGTGTAAAAAGTTAGGGGTAATTTACAGTTTTGTAATTTAATCAGGGCTGAAATGATTAATCAGATTAACTTAATTTATTTGTTTAGGACACATTAATCAACATTAATCAAAATTTATAGCTGTGTAAATATGCAGGAATTAACACAATGGCAAAATTTTATCTATTGTTTTAAGACAACTAACTATACAATTCAGAGGAAAGAACGCAGCACATATAGATCTATTAAAAAAGAAAAAACATCAATAGAAGGAATCATTATCAATCATGATTAACTGATTATTGAAATAATTGTCACCTGATTTAGTAATTGATTAACTGTTGACTGGAGACCACAAATTTAAAATAGACCAATTTCTGAATGGAAAATATTTTCAGATGAGTAAAATAAGCCAAAAATTTATTTTATTGAAAGGAATTCTGTTTACAGAGAGTTTATTATGTGTCTTATTATTTCAAATGTATGTGGTTTTCATATCAATTATTATTTAATATTTTTTTTGTGTGTTTTCTCTTAGATATTTAAAATATCATCCAGTTCCTGTGTTAGTGTTAATTATAGTTTATTGTTCTGTAGGACCAATTGCTGTTATTGATATATTGGTTGAAAATAGTCTCAAAAACAGCAATGTTATCACATTCTGTAATTTTTAATAGTGTGTGTAGGTTATTCTATAGGATATACTTTTGTAAGGCACTGCTTATAGTTTTTAGAGTTTTTTACCAAACAAACATCAATTAATTACCCAGCTTCCTTTAATAATATTTAGAAATGTATTCAAACTGAACAAGCAGTTCCTTCCTTCTGTATCTCCTCATTATGAATATGATTCTCTTATCCTGCTGTGTTCAGTATTTGCGTTAAAAAGGGAGACGTACTGCGTTCGCAGGGTAAAGGCTGCGCTGGTGATGGAGGTGGGCAGATTGAGGCCTTTGGTGATTTCCCTCCAGATCTTCTTGTTGATGACCTCCACCAGTCCTCCCTTCTCCGTCACCAGCTTGTAAAGCCTGTACAGGTCCAGCACCTGCTTCGCCATGATGGGAATGCGGTTCACAGGTGTTCCTGCGCACACGGAAAGGAACGGACGGAAGGAAAAACCGTGTTAATAGAGACTAACCAGGAAGGTTCTGCTGGGCTACCACTGCAGCCGGAAGTGACCCAAATCCGATTTTTACTCAAAATAAGCGCAAAAAATAACAATAGTGTGACTCTATGGAGGGAAAAGCAGAGGCAGACTTAGAAATGAGAATACCAAAAGCAAAAATGATAATAAAAAATATTAATAAAACTACAACAAATGGATTAATACTTTAGGATTAACATGCATTGGTGCAATTCCATTCATATTTTGGTCAAGCATTCATAATTTTCAATAAATTTCAGATATTTCAACTGTAACTGGGATTCAGATTAAAATAAATAAATAAAAACTGGGGATGATCTGAGCACTCTTTGTTTATGAATAAATAGTGTTGCCAGGCAGAATATCAGAGCAAAAGAAAGTTCTATTTTTTTGTTTGTTTTTCAATAACACTCCAAAAGTTACCACATCTCTAGAAACTGATTCAGGTTGGATGAATGCAACACAGCTGTTCAGACTCGGGTCACATTTGAAAATATCAAACATCAGATTTCAGTTTGCATTCGAAAAAAATCCCATCTGTTGTTCAGACGGTCAGGAAAAGATCAGGTGCAGGTCATGTTGAGGTAAGAAAAAATTGGATTTGTGTGACTTCAGCCTGCAGCGTGACCGTAGCCTTCACAGACAATTAACAAGCGGACAGGATGAGGACATTTTCTGACTTCCACACCTTAGGGCATTAGGTCAGTGTTAGGTAATGAGGTTTAGCTTGTATAATCCATGTCGATTGACTGGACAATGAAGCTCATTTCAGATTGATGGGGGTGGGGAGCAGCAGCTTTTGTTCATTTGATCACAGCGGGAGGAGGGCTGGTGGAACTAACCGGGCCTGCAAGTCACACTGGTTGACAGCGAACTCCTCCACTTCTGACTTGGAGCAAAGCCAATTAAAGGAGAAGACTAACACAGAAATACAACTAGTTTGTGCTTAAACTGAACACATGCAACAAACTCACACCACCGCTCCAATTTCTGAATTAACTAATTATCATTTTTTTTAAATATTCACAGAGTTTGAACTTTTCCTCATTTTAATTAATCACAATCTGAAACACATTTTACTTAAAATGAAGTGGACTGGTAATGCTACATAATTATTCAACTTGTACACAACTTAAATCTGAAAAGTATGGTATGCATTTGTTAAATTTTTAACAAATGCATTAATTAATTTTAGATCACAGCATATCAAAGTGTCACAATGGCCCAGTCAAAGCCCGGACGAAATAGAACCTAGAATCTTAAAAGTTCATATTTGCAGATGCTCTTTTGTAAAGATTAACAAGCATAAAATTTGGTTTCTAGATTTAAAAAGCAGGAAGTGAGGAACAAAAAGGGCTTATTTAAGTAAATACAGATACATTTTATACTTTTAAAATATTAATTTGTACAAAAAAAAATTAAACCCATTCATAATATCTTCCACATGTTGGTCTATTGCTTAAAACTCCAATACAACAGATTGAAGTTTATGGTTAAAATGTGAGAAAATGCTTGTAGGGGTTTGAGTACTTTTGAATAAAGTAGAGCAATTTTTAAAATCCGACATTAAAATTAAAGAAACAAGGATCTTCCTCGTATAGAGACTCGACATTGTTAAGAAAAAAATGCATCTAACAGAAAAAAAAGTGAAAAATTTACCCCGTTTCTGCATGAAGACAAAAAGCTCATCAAGAAACTCCTTCCGTTGAGGATCGTTATCCAGTTCATAGAGCTGCATCAGAAAAAAAAAAAACAAGAACGATAAAACACAGTGGGGTTGTTGTTTTTTAAATATATTTATATTATTTTATTTCCTACGCCGTCCAACCTTGGCAAAGTCTCTGGACGGTTCTCCTCTCGCTTTTGCTCCGTCAGATTCGTCCGTCCAGACGCCACTTCCTCTCTGCAGACGCACAGACTTCATTTTATTACCTGCATGTTTGGAAGTTTACGTCCAGCAAATTTTACAGAAACAGGCAGGAAAATCAAAAACTCGTCACGTTATAAATAATGTTATCTTTTTTTTTATGTGCACAAACTGTCCAGATTTATTGGAAACCTGATTCATTTTCTGCAGCTTCAGCCTCATAGTCAAAAGTCTTACAAAGTATTTCTTGTCCAGTTTTTTTGCAAATATCTTGGTACACATGAAATAAGACAAAACTAACTTACAAGTAACTTATCAATAAGAAATAGGAGCTGGTTTTAAGTGAATAATATTGATGAAGAAAAAATTGTTCCATTGGCAGATTATTTCACTTAAAACATGAGGAAATCGTCTTGTTATAAGCAAATTTATCTTGTGTGTTTGCTTCACTGTAAACACACAAAATCCCACCAAGTAGTTTTCGTCTAGTTTGTAATGTAAATATCTTAGTTTACTTGAAACAAGACTAATTTGCCAGTAACTTTTCAGCAGCTTGTTTTAAGTCAATAATTTGCACTTTTTCTTCAATATTGAGGGATTATTTACTTAAAACAAGCTCCTAAATCTTGCTGAAAAGTTACTTGCAAGTTAGTTCTGTCTTATTTCCAGTGCAAGACGATATTTGCACTAGAAATTAGACTATAAATACTTGGTAAGATTTTGTGTTTTTGCTGTTTAATGCTGTTCCTGTGAGACATTAAATTCTGACAATTGAAACTCAAACTATCTCCATCTAATTGCAGCTTCCTTTTCCACCTCTTTTCGGGTGGCGCATCGTCCTTCCGGTGCGTTTTTCCGGGGACGCCCGCTCCTGGGCAGAGTGGAAACTGTTCTGAACTTCCTCCATTTGTGGATAATTTTTCTGATGGTGGACCGATGAACAGCCAGCTGTTTAGAGATCCTCTTGTAACCTTTCCCTGAACTGTGCAGATCTACGATCCTTCTCCTGATGTCTTCTGAAAGCTGATTTGATCGAGGCATTTTCACATCAAACAACCTTTGCAGTTCGGAGCTAATGAACTGCTGTGCCTTTATTTATAGGGAGGGGCTCCAATCCTGTCTGCTTAATTGAAACACCTGCAAGTGGAGACCTCGTTAGCGATCAGGACCACAAACAACCAACAACTAGAGTTTTATGTGTCAAATAAAAGCATTAAAAGTGGAAATGGGGAAAATGATGCAGCTGCAGAATGAGAGTATTGAAAAAATTTTTTACAATCAAATCAAAATATTCCTTGTAGACATAAATATTATAATAAATTAAAATTAGCTTTATAATTTCCATTCTGATTATTAGTACTTTTTGAAGAGCAAATTTGTTTATAGATATCTTTGATATATTTTATTTATGGTTTTGGTTTTGCATGGTTATTATTTCATTTTTATTTATTGTGTTTCTATTTTGGATAACTGAAATGTTTCCAAGTGCCAGTGTTTAGAGTTCTTTATAAAATTATATTGTATTTTATGCAGTGAGAACTTGCGTCACCTTCCTGAAATAATGGCACAACTAATCTTTTTTTTCCCAAAAGTGATTATTGCAAAATAATAAAAAAAAAAAATTAAATTTTTATAGCCAAAAGATCATTTTGGCTAAAAAAAAGAAAAGAAAGAAAATACTTTTGGATAAATACAGCTTGGGTTATTATTTAGGAAGGTGATATCAATAATTTCTGGAGCTGCTTAATATGGAAGTGTTTAATAATTACACTTTGCAGAGGACAAGCTTGTGCAATTTCTTTCGTTGCACAATCAGCTTTAGATTCTTCCGTGCAGCTCAAAGCATCTTTTAACAGATCAATAGTGTTTCCCAGTCCAGCTTACTTCATCATCAAGCAAAGCTAAAACCTGCTGCAAACTATAAATGATTAAACTTCTTCAATTTGTAACTGTATGAAAACCCCATCCTTACAGAGTGCTGCCGTTTCATACTGAACGCTGCTACTTCACATCCGGCCATTTTTACTCCTACAATTTCAACATGAGCTAATTGCTAAGTCAGAGCAACACAGCAGGTCTAGTTTCCTGTTCATCACATTTTCAGCTGCAGTCAGAGCATTTCAGCACAAAGCTGGAAGTCTGAGGTACAAATGTCAAAGAGACCAGGTTAGAGACACAATCTTTCAGTCATGCAAACTTATGTTTGTTTATTAACCACCACATTCAAACTCGTGTTAAATAGTAGTCAGTACTCCCCTGCCATCATGTAAAGTAGCTCTGAATAATCACAAATAAAAGTTCTGAAGTTCCAGTTGGCGTCTTAAAATAAAATGTATGGCCTGTATAGAGCTTCCAACCTAAACAATGATCTGATTGTGAAATAATATCAGAGAAGTAAAAACTATTAAGGAATTTCTAAACGATTCACTGTTAAAAACACACAAAATGTTCCCCTTTGTTCTAGTTTCCAGTGCAAATATCTTAGCACTTTTGAAATAAGTCAAGATTAACTTAAAAGTTACTTTTTAGCAAAAGACATACAGGATTGTTTTAAGTAAATATTTTTTTTAAATTGATGAAAAAGTACTGGTTCCATCAGCAAATAAATTAACCTAAAACATGGGAAAAATGTTTTAAGTGAAATAATCTGCCAATGAAACTAGTATTTTGTCATCAATATTAAGGAAGTAACTTAAGTTAGTTGTCACATGTGCTGAGATATTTGCAGAAATACTTGGTAAGATTTTGCCTTTTTGCAGTGTTAGATCTAGGAGCAAGTGACATGGACTTCCTTATGTGGAAATAATTGGGATACGCATCTGATGTCTTTCAAAGCGTCTGCATTCTGCATTTTATGTCACTGATGTGAGACATGCATCAATTCTGCACCACAAAAATCCAGAAACTGCAAGTCCAGACGAAAACAATGTCAGAAAGTTATGATTATGAAATAAGCATCACATCATAATCCACCATGGCTCCCACTACGCATCTAAACAGATTCCCACACAGTGCTTCATTAAAGCCATTGCTATTGGTTGTGTGTGGGTTTTTTTTAATTAGCTGAATAAACTATCCATAAACGGCTCTGTGCATTACTATTTCCATAAACAGAGCGCCGCTGCACGGTGTGACATCAACGTTCTTCTTCAGTGCATGTGTGTCGTTTCGGGGTCGTAGATCTACAGAAATCTGATTGCTGTTAGTGGAATGAACAGCCATGCAAATTGAAAGAAAAGAGAGAAAGAGAGCATAAAGATCAGCTGAGTGAATAAAAAACTGTTTTTATCTGATGTGATGTAGAGTGAAAGCAAGTCAGTATCTGAGGCTTGAGGACAAACAGTTTAGGTTTGGATTCCTAACCTGCAGCGACTCCAGGTCAAAGGTGAACCAGATGTTGTGGATTTGAGGAGAAAATGTTTATTTCAGACGTTAAGAGACTCAAGACTGAACTTGTAGCAAAAGTAAAGACGGAGACTTTACTTAGAAAAAGTGACTTGTGAACATCTTTTCAGTCAGCTATTCAATTTTTTTTTTAATTTTCTCTCAAAAAAATTGTTTTTCTAATGAGTTGTACAGGCTATTGATCCAATTAAAAGATGGAAAACCTGAAAGGATTTATGTTAAAACCGGGGGTACTTTCAATATCTACTATGATGTTTCACAGAGATCAAACCAGATTCTACTTTGTGTTGGTAGATTAGTCAATTTCTGTTTGTCTACAAGTAATAATTACACCTCATTCAAACTGTGATCAAAGCAAATAACTGCAGTAGTTAGATGTGTTTTTTTTTTGTTGACACCAACTATTCAGACTCTTACCAGATGCCACTGGTTTCTCACCAGTTTGAAAGAGTCTTTACATTTACTAAAATGTGAAACACTCGGGTGAGTGGGTGTGGTTGCTATGAAACGTATTGTATGACAACGTGATATGTCAAAACAAAAATTAAAAAACAAAGCCAGAGTGGGGAGAGCTGCAGAGAAGGCATGTTAAAACCAGTTTTTACAGTCTGGTTTCACCGCCTTGGAAGTCATATCAAAATGAAGCCTATTAAATCTTTTCCTGCTGCCTGTAGATGCGTCTGAACCCAGAGACCTGCAGCGGGAACATTAAATTTAAATAATGTGAAGATCCATTATCCTGTCCTGTAGTGCAGACTATTACTTATTGGATCCACACAAAACACTGCAGTAAAAAATTCCTTGAAGTCACAATGATTTGGTATTCAAATCAACTGCTTCATAAAAATGTTATGAAAAGACAAATTTTCCGAACACAAACTATTCCAGCTTCTCCATTTCTGTTTTCTCTACCCACTGAATGAAAAACAAACACATTTTAACCAAAAAAATTCACCACACACAGACACATGCCTGCAGTTTTTGTTAACGTTTCATAGGTTTTATTTTGAAAGAAACTGATTTGGAAAAAAAAAATCTTTTTCTCATTTTGTCATTAAAATACCAACATTTCCACTTAACTTTATATTTTGATCCATCTGATTTTTAAGTATTAAGTCAGGGCTGTGAAACTCATCTTCAAAAATTGGAATATTCTTAAAGGGCCGATTTTATTGATAAAACCCATTAAAGCATTGAGACACCTGGTCCTCCGGGATTTCGTGATTGTTTTTGTGGTTTTTTGCAATCAAAATTTCATATTATGTGGTGCTAATTTAGAAATATTTGAAAGAACTTTTTATTTTTGAGTTTTATTGGACACAGATGAACTTGACACCAGGTAAGGCTGAATCAGCAGTCACTTAACCACAAATTATCTACCAAATTTGAGAACATTTTACAGTGAAATCAGAAAAAATGTGGGGATTTGTTGATTTTGCGGATTTGTGAAAAACTGGAGGTGTAATTTTGAAACTAGAGGGCCAGATAAAAAGCTACGATGGGCCAGATTTGGCCCCCGGGCCCTGAGTTTGATACATGTGATTGATAATTTGATCCGTACTTGAGTAGATTTTTTTCCCAGTACCTTTTAACTCTTACTTGAGTTCATTTCTTTGATGTCTAGGTTTTAC